TACAGGGGATGTTCCTGAAACGACACTGGCGCGGTTCGAACGGACGGTGAACGAGAGTAACACGGGTTACTTAGCACTGGTTATGGCAGCAGCAGAGGAGGAAAAGCCGAACTCGGAGCTACCTGCAGCAGTAAAGGAGGTGTTGGAGCAGTACAAGGATATCATGCCAGACGACCTACCTGCAGGAGTACCTCCAGCGCGCACCCACGAGCACGAGATCGTGGAGGAACCAGGTGCGAAACCCGTCTCACGTGCACCATACCGACTTAGTCCGACCGAACTGACAGACATGAAGAAACAGATCGAGTATCTACTGGACAAACAACTGATCCGCCCATCCACCTCTCCCTACGGCGCACCGGTTCTCTTCACTCCAAAGCCAGACGGTAGTTTACGGATGTGCATCGACTACCGCGCACTGAACAAACAGACAGCACTGACTACAGCGCCAGTACTCATCCTACCGGATCCAGACAGAGACTACGTGGTGGAAGCAGACGCTAGTGACCAAGCAGTCGGAGCAGTACTGATGCAGGATCACGGACGCGGTTTGCAACCCATCGCCTACCTCAGTAAGAAGCTACACGGAGCAGAACTGAACTACCCTATCCATGACAAGGAAGCCTTAGCGATAGTCACAGCCTTCAAGGCGTGGAGGTGTTACTTAGAGGGAGCCAAGACTACAGTTTACACTGACCACTGCAGCCTCAAATACCTCAAGTCGCAGCCGACGCTCTCACGGCGACAGGTGCGGTGGGTGGACTTCTTGGAGACACACTTCCACTACGACATCATCTACAAACCCGGGCTCCACAACAAAGCTGACGCGTTGAGCCGCCCCGGACATGTAGCAGGCATCCAGCTCGACGGGATGAACCCTCTGCTCAAGGGTCTATTCCAACATGGGTACTCCATGGACGCAGAGATCGCTACAGCAGAGAAACAGAAGCTGTTACAGTGGGAGAATGACTTAGCTGTAAGAAAGGGATCAGGAAAGATTTGGGTACCGAACTATGCCCCGCTCCGACAGATCTTACTGGAGGAGTTCCACGACGTGGCATACGCGGGACATTTCGGGAGCAACAAGACGTTAGCGGGAATAGCAAAGTATTACTACTGGCCCCGGATGGCAGCAGACGTGCAGCAGTTCGTCACCTCATGCGACACGTGCCAGCGGATGAAGAGTAGCAAGCAGAAAAAAGTAGGGTTACTTCAGCCTCTACCTGTACCGGAGCAGCCATGGCAAGTTGTCAGCCTAGACTTCATCACTGGGCTTCCTTCGACCTCACGAGGGCATGATGCTATACTCGTGGTGATCGATAAGTTCTCTAAAATGGGACACTTCATTCCGACCAACGCCACGGCTACAGCTGAAGCAACTGCTCGCCTCTTCTTCGACCGCATCATCACCATCCACGGCATCCCCGCTACACTCATCTCAGACAGAGACCCAAAATTCACTAGTAAGTTTTGGAGGGAACTCATGGGATTGTTGGGGACAAAGCTTGCAATGTCTTCAGCATACCACCCCCAGACTGACGGACAGACTGAGCGACTCAATCAGGTGGTTGAACAGTTACTGCGCACAGCTTGCAAGGACGACATCAGCCACTGGGATCTACAGTTACCGACGCTTGAGTTCGCTTACAACAACGCTTCACATGCGGCCACAGGGAAATCTCCTTTCTTCCTGTGCTATGGACGGGAACCACTTACACCACAACAGCCAACCACACCGGCACACGTCCAAGCTGCACACGACTTCGTCACCACCATGCAGCAGCTATGGGAGAAGACTCAGCGACGTCTCACCACGATGCAGAACTCCCAGAAGCAGTATGCAGATCGACAGCGACGAGATCACTCAGTAGCAGTCGGAGATCAGGTGCTTCTTGACACACGCAACTTGGACTTGTCCCACATTCCGTCCAAGCTCCGGCCTCGCTTCTGTGGTCCCTTTCGCGTTGAGGCGATGGTGACACCAGTTACATTCCGCTTGCGCTTACCTACCACGTGGAAGCTTCACAATGCTTTCCATGTTCAGCTGCTGAAGCCCTACAAGGACCCCAACCAGCAGTTCACAGGACGACAGCTACCGCCACCACCACCTGTTCTCGTACAGGATGAACCAGAGTACGAGGTGGAACGAATTCTTGCTCATCGACGCAGACGCGGCAACACGCTCGAGTTCCTGATTCGCTGGAAATGATATGACCCATCGGAGGACAGTTGGGTTGCAGAAGCTAATATGGGCAACGCACGCCGTGCTCTCAAGGATTATCTTGTCAAGCAGGGTGTATCTCACGCCACCCAGCTTTGAGGGGGGGACGTGTGAGAGTACGACGGCTTTGCTATGATTTACTAGCTTGATTATGCTTTATTATGCATTATCTAGCTTAGCTTTATTTTGTTTTGCTTGCTTTTGCTAGATTTCCTAGGTTCGTTGCTTTACTATATTTATTATAGTTATAGGCACCGAACTAGGTTGAGTGCACCGAATTCTAGGCTTTTCGGTTGCCACCGAATTGCCTTCTACCGAATTCGGGAAGGACCCGTTCGGGACGCTTCGCGACCCGCGGAACCTTCTAGTAACACCAGGGTTACTGCCTTTGTGTCGAGCCTATATATAGCCTCGTCTTGTACCCAGGTGCATTATTCAATAGTTCAATCTTTCCTGAACCAGATCCTCACATCAACATTGTTCTACACTCTTCCCCTAACGTCAACAACATACTACGCCCCAATCCCTGCCATTCCCGACATGGTTCGCTCCAATGCCGGCGATGATCGCCAGTCAAGTACGTAGCAAAGCTGCGGCCCACTAAGGCCAATGGAGAGGTTGTCGGCGACAAAGGGGCACGGGGAAAGGTCATAAAAGCTGTGAGGTAAGCCTTCGTGAGATTACCAGTAATATTTGCAAACGAAACGCTGGTGCTAATGCCCTCTTAGTAGTATCTTTCAGACCTATTTTGACACCCTCCTTCCCTTACCCTCCCTCCTCCCTCCTGACCGCTTTCGTTAGTATCTTTCTGTCTTGATGTCTTTTCTTGCAGGAGTTCATCCCCAAAAGGAACGTATGAAGTCATCACTGCACTTCGCGCCTTCAATATCAAGTCCGGGGGAGGCGCACCTGCCTCAAGCTTCGCAACTGAGTGCGGCGATACTGACTTAGCCGCGGAGGGTCTGGTTTGGACCAACATCACAAGTGCCAAGACTCGTCGCAATCACCGCTACAGCTTCAAGCTTTCTTACATAAGTCCGTCGGGAGTGCCCCTGGCTGAGGCAAGTCAATATATTAAAGCGGAGGTGGAGGCAAACAATGTTGTAAGGATTGGCCATCCGAAGAACCTGAACGCACTCTGCGGGGCGTTCAAGAAAACAGTGTCATGAACGTGCTCAACTTAGTTCCGCTTAGAGATGTCAAATTATATTTATACGGTATCCTTTTAGGTTGCTAGGCTACAGTGAGTTGCATAGTATAGGGTACACAAGTTCTCTCTACTTGTACCCCCCACCCCTCCTTACGAGTCTATCACCTTCCTTTCGCTAACCTACCGTTCTTGTAACATGGTATCATTCCCTAAGTTCTTAGCCCAATTGAAGTACTACCTCATCCCCTAGGGTCACTTCTAGCGCTGGCCGTGAGCCATCCCTCTCTCCCTCCGGTCTCCTACCGTCATACCCCGGATAGAAGCGCCCCTGGGGTTGTAATAAAACACTGTTTTTTAGGGGGTGCGCTTATAATTGAGGAAATTTATAAGCGCCGGGGCTTATATAATGACATATATGAAATCTGTTTTTTTTCACACCAAAGTGTTCATCTCGTTCTTGCGATTTGAATCGAATCGATATTGTAGAGGGCAATGAATGTGAATTTCGCGTGAATTGGCAGTGGTTGATTCCATGCCAACACACACAGTCAGAATGAGTCAGATTGACCCCATGACAGCTCATTCTGACTGGACACGAAGGTATTGAGTCGCGCGAGGGTGAAGAAATTCGAAATTCTGAATGTGGGAATGGAAAAATCGTGTTTCGTTACAGCGTTTCTAGTAAAATATAAGAAAATATTACAAAGGGTGGCGCTTATAATCCGTAAGCCTTCAGGGGTGCGCTTATAATCGAGGACCGGATATAAGCGCCCTCATCCTTTTATAAGCGCCGGCGCTTATCATAGGCCTGCGCTTCTATCCGGGGTATGACGGTATTACGCTACTGCAGCAGTTGAGCGAGCAGCAGCCGCCAGAGCGCGCTAAAAAAGCAGCCGCTGCCCCACGCGCTGCCCCGCGTGTTGCCCCGCGCTGCCCTGTGCTACCCTCCGCGCTGCCTCGCGCTGCCATGCGCTGCCCTGTGCTGCCCTACACTGCCGCCCACCGCAGCCCCGAGCGCTGCTACCCAGCGCTGCCGCGTGCTACCCACGCTCTGCCCCGCGCGCTGCGCCAGAAGCGCACGCCCCGCCGGCCAGTCTGCTGTAGCCACCAGGATCCCAAACGCACTGCTAGCGCCTACCGCCGCCGACAGCGACTCCTACCTATCTACAGCCGCCCACAGTAGCTCCCAGCCGCCCACACCTACCCACAGCCGCCCACGGTATCTCCCAGCTCCTTAACTGCTGCTCACAGTAGCAACCAGCCGCCCACAGTAACAACCAGCCGCCCACACCTACCCATACCCGCCCATGGCCGCCCTTAGCCACTCATAGCCCCTCCCAATCCCAACAGTCCGCAGCCCCTTTCAGCCGCCCACCACCGCCTTTGGTACTTCTGCCCATTTCCGTCTACAGCCAGCCATAGCCGCTTACAAGGGGGCCCACAGCTGATATGGCAAGAACAGAATGAAAATAAAGAATTGAGGGCATACAGAGGGGGTATATCTAGCACACCCGTACCCTCTATAATGCAACCTAGCCTAAATGTCTATGTGATCGGACAATTAGATGTCTCCCTTATCAGTGATTTCATATCTACTATCCTCCAATCCAATCCAAGGGCCACCCCATATTACTCCTCCGTGGCCTCTACCACAGGCCTCCACATGGTCTTTTGAAACGCGAGCACAGTGTCGTCTGTGTTGCGCTTGTAACTGTCAAGCGGCTTCCAGTGCAGCGCCGCTGCTACTGATTCCACCACGGCTGCCGTGGCGTTGGTCTCGCGTATAATGACGTACCCCATGGGCCGCAGCATACGATCAATCTCCAGCATCACATCTACCACGTCACAGCTGGAGTCAAGGGGGGGAGGAGGGGGCGAAGTCGCAGGAGAGGAGGATGTAAGAGGCAAGGAGGGAATACAAGAGCCCTGCGTTGATTGTTCCCCGCAGCTCACGATCCTCCAGCATCACATTCTCCACGTCACAGCTGGAGTCAAGGGGGAGGGGAGGGGAGGGGAGGGGAGGGGAGGGGAGGGGAGGGGAGGGGAGGGGAGGGGAGGGAGGGAGGGGAGGGGGGAGGGGAGGGGGAGAGGGGAGAGGGGAGGAGAGGAGGACGTAAGAAGGATAAACACAGCATGCACAGGAGAGCCATGCATTTCTTGTTGCCCGCAGCAGACGATTCATCTCCAGCAGCACCACCACACCCACAAGGTCACAGCCAGAGTCAGGGGCAAAAGAAGCACAAGGGGACGGAGGGGCCAAGCAAGAATACAAAAAGCATGAGCAGGAGGGTGCCCTGCGGTGACTGTTCCCCTGACAGCTTCGCAGCGAAGCTGGATTGGTGCACACAAATAAAACAGAGTTTGGAAAGCTGGTTCAAATCGCACCACCCAAACAGCCTCACACTCGGCTCACTGAACTTGTCCTACCAGGACGGCTAATCTAATCAGTCTTACCCGCGGCGGTGGTTCTTGTCGAGGTGGCTCAGCAGGTGGTGCGCGTGCAGCAGGTCGTAGGTGCGCGGGTATGTGCTGAACGACTCGCACCAGTCGTGGTATACGCCTAACAGCCCGCGCTCAAACACCAAGGGGAGAGTGTCGGGCCGCGATGTCGGCACCACGTTGAGCGTCCACAGCGGCTTGCCCGTGGCTGCTAACGCTGCTCCCCACCTGGTGCGGAGCGGGCATGGGAATGGCATGTGCGCGTGTTGGGAGGACATGGCGGGTTAGCCTTGAGGCATGAGGCATCCAGGCAAATTCCAAAGGCACATGAGACCTCCTGTTCATCATGTCACGTGAAGCATTCCGCGCATCATGTCACATAAAAAATTTTGCGCACCATGGCTCACTAGATGAAAGAAAATACGAGAATGGATCGCCACCCCAGCCATTTGCCAGGCGAGCCCACACGTACCCGCCCATGCGAGCATCCATGTCCATCACGTTGCGAATGGTGCTCCAGTCGAACCCCATCCGCCGCTCATACGTCCTCTGCACCCGTTGCCACCGTTCCGTATCGTTGCTGAACCCCCCGTACCCTCCATACCCAATCCCCTCTCCGTTTCTCCTCCCCCCATCCCACTCCCCATCCACGCCCGCAATCCTCTCCTGCTGCAGCTGCAGCCGCAACTGCATCTTCTCATCCACTCGACTGTTCTCACTTCTGCTGCTACTACTGCTGAAAATGAAACTGTTACTGCCACGGCTGCTGCTGCCTCTGCTGCTGGAGCTGCTGCTGCTCGCACTTGCCTCCTTGAACTCCTCCCACACCTCCTCCGCCTCCACTACCGCGCGGCTCTCCATTGCTTCCGCCGCGCCGTCCAGCCACACCGGCTCCGCGGTGAGCCGTTCCGCGCCGTCCGCGGGCCACTCCGAGCCGTGCTGCGCGTCCCGGTCCATGGGCACGCGGTGCATGCACGACTGCATCGGTACGTACCTGTGCGCACAGCGCGGCGGGTGGGGGGGCGGGCGGGCAAGCGAGAGAGTGGTTGATGAGCAAGGAAGCATAAAAAAAAGAGTGGGGAATACGTAGTGCATGTCTCGTACTGCGCAGAACGGAAGTTTTTGGCGTGAACGTATTCCGTTCTAGAGAACGAATAAAGTGGCACGGAGTTTCAACGACAAGGAATACCGAGGAATACCGCGTAACGACGAGGAACATGTACCGGACTTGAGATACTTACCAGGAAGCATCGGGCTCATCCGCGGTCGAGCACAGCGGCGCAAGCGACGAGTTATTGGGGCGGTGGCGGTAGCAGCGATTGTCGGTGGGCTTTTGCCAAACCGCCACTCCGATCCCGAACGTCATGTTCACGCGCTTGGCGCGCAGCGTCCAGCACATACGCGCTGTAAGCTCCTCCATGGCCGCCCACACCTCGCGATCATCCGGCTCAAACGCCTTACACTCAAGACACACGGGAGTCGCGGACCAAATGAAATAGCCCCCCGGGCGGATGAGTCGGTTCAGCTCCAGCAGCAGCATCCCGCCGTTGGCGTGCCACGGCACGCGGCACCGCGCGCAATGCACGGCGTCGAAGGAATTCGCGGGGAACGGCTGGCGCAGCGTGCCCATCACGCCGACCAGCGCGGGAACTCCGCGCTCGAGCGCGAACTGCACCTGCGCCTCGTGCTCGTCCTTGGGCGCCACGGACAACACCTTGACGCTCTTCGCGTCCAGATACGCGCCGAAGCTCGCGACGCCGCAGCCCATGTCGAGCGCGACTTGCACGCGGCGCCCCCACGCGAGCTCCGGGAGAACCTGCTCCAGCCACGCGATGTACGTCGCGGCGCCGTATTTGAACTGCGTGCCGCCGCCGGGGAAGACGAAGCGGTCCGACTCCACTTTGAGCCAGTTCTGGTCCGCCTTGTAGTTCGCCAGGGATGTTCGCGGCACGTTGTTGAACCAGATCTGCAATTAAGGGACGCGCGCGGATGATTAGTGGATATTTGCGTTAATACGCGGGAATCAGGATCAGTAACGGACCGACGGGCCGAGTGAGAGCGGTTCTTCAAGAGAGGTTCTCGTACATGCTCTCAGCGGCAGAAATGATATAATTCTCTATGCACCTTCCTGCTTCGCGAACCATCTTTTCTCCCCTCTCCACCCCACTTCTTTTCCCTCTCTTTCCCTCAACTTCCCCGTCCTTTTCCCGCCCACCCCTCTCCCCTCGATGCGCGTGCCTCACCTCATCGCGGCTTTCGGGCCACGGGACATGCGGCTTGTAGCCCTCGGGCATGGGCACGACGCAGCGCGGCATTTCCTGGGGATTTGGGCAGTGGCGCTCGCGGTGCTGGTACTGCTTGGTGGTGCGCAGCTTCTTGATCGCCCGCGTGTTGTCCAGGCACGGGATGTAGTCGTCGCTCACTGCGTCGCAGAGCGGGAAGGACTCGGGGATCGCAGGGAGCAGCATGTTGCCTGTTACCGCACCTGGCGACTCGGAGGCTCGTGAGATCTGCGCGCGAGGAGACGGGGGAGAGCAGGGGAGGTGGGGGAACCAGGTGGAATGGGGAGTAGTAGAGGGTATAACGGAACAAGAGGGATATGCATGAGGCAAGGGAAAATCAGTGACTGGCTTTAAAGACGGGTCGCCGATTTGGGGAGGAACACGTGAGCTTGAGCGTCGGAAGGGCACAGAAGATGAGGTCAAAATAGAGGTCCAGCGGGGTCAGAGAGAACGGAATGTTCTAACTGATATCGAAAAAAAAAATCGAAGTAAAGCTTTTTAGTCGAGAGCTAATGGTGGGAGCCTGCTCTTTCTATAGCTCACCTTGTCACTCCCTGGTCTGGTTAGAAGCCATGTTGCGATGAGAATTAGCACGGTCGCAACAGCTATGGTGTTGCTGGGCTGATTAACAGTACGAGTATTACCCATGGCTGAACTGTGCGAAAAGCGCGCGCGTGTCTACGCGAGTCTGGATGGCGACGATGAGGAGGATATGCAAGCCGAAACTGTTCGATTCCTTTGTTTTCGTTCCACTTCACGAGTGGTTCTATCAATTACGCACGAGCTTATTGGGCGAATAGAAAAGCAAGAAACGCCTGGGAATTAAGAAATGCTGCGAGAAGAAAAGCACAAGCTGAGACGAGGGATCCCCAGCTATAGCCCCTTGGGAATTCAATCTAGTGCCACCTCAACTGGAACGAGTGAATGGGAGTGGTGATTGATATGACAGGAGGAGTTGGCTGTCCCAAGAGGTCTGATCCAGGCTCTGTGCGGCTCGTCGAAAACAGCGCTCTTGGCTTGGTTTGAAATTGTTGGGCTCGAAGTTGCTTCGGTGTCGGGAGGGGAGGTGTCCAGGCATCACCCAACCTGCGAGCCTGTCCAGTCTGGCCTCGAGTCTCTCGAGTCCATTCCATTTTCAGCAACAGGCGCGCTTCGCGACGAGCCTGTCTTGGAAATAAAATTCTCGCGGTGGAGGGGAGCTCAGGAAGAGCGCGAAAGCAACGGCAGTGCGGCGCGGAAGTGATGGTTGGGTGTGTCCCTCCTTCCCTGGACATTGTCCAATGCGTCAGCCAATATACACAAAAGGAGCATCACAATCGAGGACATGCAGCAACCTGAGTATGATTACTTTTACCGAGTACTATGTTTATAAGGCTACTCAACAGCCAATGGTGACTAAAGTACACTTGGGTGATGCACCGTATGTGGATACATGTCAATTGCAAAAAACCGTGAACCAGTGCTTTTATTCGTTCAATTGAGCAGATGGAGCAAACGTTTCCAGCTATTGCCAAGTTATAAATAAGTTTACTGACTGATGATTTAGAAGTTTGAAGTCTCATACGAAGGAGCTGATCCTGTAGTTGAAAGCAACCCGAACTCCTCAACCCTCAATAAGCTTGACGGGTGTGCTGCAGACATTCGGATTCCACAGGGGCATGTGATGAAACATGAACGACTCAAGCTCGAATATGCATTTTTCGAACACCAGGGCCCAGCACGACAGGACCCACCTAAATAGCTACCGGTAACAAATAAAAGAAAGATAACGGATCATAGCTTTATATAAGCCGAAAAACTTAACAAAAGCATGAGGACGAAAAAGGCCAGACTGGGAGTAAGTGGCAGGGTGAGAGGAAAGAGAGATATGGTACGGTAAGAAACGCTCACCCATAGGCGTTTTGCTTCACTGCCAGGAGCTCCACATTCATCTGCAGGCAGAGGAGTAAACGTGCAGATAGATTTGCAAATCAGCCAAAAGAAACCGTGCCATACGGATTGTGCTCAGCCAGCCACGGGCTTTAAACAAATACATAAGGATAAGAACCTGTTTCAGTCTATTTCCCAAACCCTTAGGCATCTTCAGATTCGAGAGCACTAGCTTGGCAGGCCAGGGTGAGGGATGAGCGGGTGAGGGCTTAGTCTATTTCACCTGGAGAGTGGCATTGGGTGGGATCTCCTGAATGCCTCGATCGCCATATGCCAGCTCCGGAGGCACTATCATTTGACGCTGCAGGCGAGGCACGCAGAGAATGCACGAGAGCGAGAGAGAGAGAGAGAGAGAGAGAGAGAGAGAGAGAGAGAGAGAGAGAGAGAGAGAGAGAGAGAGAGAGAGAGAGAGAGAGAGAGAGAGAGAGAGAGAGAGAGAGAGAGAGAGAGGAGAGGAGGATGGGGAGGGCGAAGGGGATTTCGTGCGCGATCGATAAATGATAGCGCACTTGTCATCATGTGCAGATCATGGCCCCAGCACTTGAGCACCATTCCATGCTTTGAGACGATTCAACACTTGAAGAAGCAGAGCCTCGCAGGGCAGAGCAGAGCAGAGCACTCACAACACCCCCGGCGCGCATGCCCTCAACGCCCTGGTCGAGTCCCTTGAGCACCATGCCATTCTTTGAAGCGACTCACAACTTGAGGAAGGACGGCAGGGGAGGGCAGAGCACTCACCACACCCCCCCCCAGCGCGCATGCCCTCGACGCCCTGGTCGAGCCCCTTGAGCACCATGCCGAGGCTGCTGGAGCCCAGGTCAAAGCCGTACAGCGTGCACATATGAATGGCCTTGCATGCAGCAGATAGGTAGATCGCAGCGTGCCCCACACGACGGCCAACACATTAGCAAGGCGGCACAGCGAGTACACCCCGCGTGGCGGCGTGAAACAGAGAGGGCAGGGCAGGGCAGGGCAGGGCAGGGCAGGGCAGTAGAGGGAAGACTCACCACACCACCAGCGCGCATGCCCTCGACACCCTGGTCGAGCCCCTTGAGCACCATGCCGAGGCTGCTAGAGCCCAGGTCAAAGCCGTAGGGCGTGCCGCCTGTCACGCCCATGCCCTGCCGGCTCGTCATGAACGTGATGCCCTTCCACTGCACCACGTAGTGCACCTGGTTGTGTGTGTCATGCCGTGCACTCACTCGCACACACACATGTGCACGCGCACATTCACACAGACGTTCGCACATACACATGCTCACATCCACGCACGCACATTCACACAGGGGTGAGATGAGAAGAACTTTCTCAGGTAAGGCAGCAGTGGGGCGAGATGTGGACAGCGACAGGCGCAGAGCTGCAATGGATGGACAGACACAGGTGGGGTGGGGTGGGGTGGGGTGGGGTGGGGTGGGGTGCGTGATTGAGTGGTGCCAGCAAGTGCAGTGCAGTGCTGCGAGCACCCATCAGACGATCAGAGCCTGGGAGAAGAGACCATGCGCACAACCACACCGCACCACACCACACACGACTCACTCACCGTGACTCGATCTCCCAGCTTGGCCAACGGCCCTGAGCCGACCTTGATGTCATAGATCCTGCACGCATGCACCAGAGTTCGCCAGGAGTGCAGGCAGAGGGAGTGAAGCAGGGAGGAAGGGAAGAAAAAATCAGCCCCAGGGCGGCGCCAAGCGAGTTGCAAGGTCAGGTGAGTGAGGTGAGAATGTAAAAGCAGCAAGAGTGCGTGTTTCTTTCTCTGCAGGCGCAAAAACCCAGCCATGTAAGCCCGGTAATGAAAGCTCAGCCCTGAAAGAGAAGGTTCAAGCGCAGACGTGTGTGCTTGTCTGCAGCAGTTGGGGCTGCCTGCAGTGTTAGGGCGTTGCGTTGACCCACACCCCTCACCCATACCCACACCCGCACCCGCACCCGCACCCGCACCCGCACCCGCACCCGCTCCCGCTCCCGCTCCCGCTCCCGCTCCCGCTCCCGCTCCCGCTCCCGCTCCCGCTCCCCCACCCACTCCCACACCCGCTCCCACACCCACTTGAGCCCTGACGGCAGTGTTGTGTACTCCTCCTCTGGGATGCGCGCCCCTTGATTCTGATGCCGTGGCGCACAGAGCAATGGGGCACCGGGAGCAAGGGAGAGCGGTGGGGGGGCGAGGGGGAAAGGGGGAGGGAGGGAGGGAGGGAGGGAGGGAGGGAGGGAGGGAGGGAGGGAGGGAGGGAGGGAGGGAGGGAGGGAGGGAGGGAGGGAGGGAAAACGGCCACGTGAGCTGCAGCGTGCAGCTAGCATAGGTTGAGCCAACACTTGAGCTCACGTACGTGATACATTTCTCACGTACGTGATACATTTCTCACGTACGTGATACATTTCTCACGTACGTGGATGGTATTGGATGGTACAGTACAAGAGTCATGTGAGACACTGGCTCGTGCTACTGCTCGGCACTTAACGGAGAGGATATGAATATCATATGGGACGTGCAGCTGCTGCCAACAACCCGCAGTGGACACGACAAATACAGCTCGCAAAATGCGCGTGGGTGTGGGGCACGCTGCGTGACTCAGTCGCAAGCAAAAGAGGCCGAGCCAGCATGGTTGATCAGGGCAAGGGTGAGCGGGGAGGGGATAATAGCAGCAAGGCTGGACTGGGGAGCTAATGAGCTGGCAGAGGGGGCGGTGGTGGCAGGGGGAGAGCACTCACGGCACGGCGACTGGTGGAGACAGCATGCGCTGGAATCGGGGAACTCAGCAAGGCTGTTGGGTGAGGGCGGGGCGCACAGGGGACAGACATACACAGTAACAATGACGATGCTTTCTTCTCCTTTCTCCTTTCTCCTTTCTTCTATCGTTTTTGACCTGGTCGGGTCGGGTCGGACTGAGCCTATGTTCAGCCCCTTGTTCAATCCTCCTGCCTAGACTAGACAGACAAGAAAACCCCTCGCTCTCTGCAAACTTTAGCTCAAAACTTAACAGATATATCTTACAATCAGACGTGGGCACAGGATCCAAAAGGGCAAGGCAAGCACCTGGCCGCCGCGGTTTGGGGGCCGCAAACTTCGGCCCTGCTCGTCGTCCGTCTGTATGGTTTATGGTATAAAATCCGATAGATCATAGGCCCCTAGCTGTGCCTCCTCTTCTTCGCTACGCTAACTGCTGCATGAGCAGAGGGGCTTCGTTTCGTGTGGGCCAGGCGCCCTGGGGGCCTAGGGTGCAAAAGAGAGCGGTTTCTTTCTACCAGGAAATCACCATGATGTTTATGATAAAAAAAGATACAATGAACAAACTTCGTGCAATTTTTGTGTCGTTGCTTTGAGTTGAAACGAGTCGAACCATTTTCCAGAAGGAGGCGGTTGAAGCAGTAGAAGAACATGTTGCGGTTGCGGTTGCGGGTCCTTTGAACAACTAGAGGGTCAAATTCAAAGCCTCTCCTCGTAATGCATTCTCATGTTCCTTTCTTGTCAACAAAGAAAAGATTTCATACGCAAAGCGTATCAGTGAGCGTACGGGCGGAGCGCACGGGGGAGTCCCTGCTCTGCGCCGTCACTCTGCTTACCTTACAGCAGCGCGTTTACGCGTCCGTTCGCGGGGTTACCCCCATGCGAGCGGCGAGTGATGGCGCACTGTGGGGCGGGCGGGTGGGGAGGAGTCGTACCGGCAGCGGAGGCGGTGGAAAGGGCGAGGAAGGCACGGCGACCGCTCGTGTCCGCGCTGCTGCCGTCGTCGCGCGACGCCTCTCGCCGTGAATCGCTCGTTGCTGCTTCCGCCACCAACGACCTCACGCGCCCTGCACGGACGCGCGTAAAAGAAGAAGAACATAAAACGAAATTGGAAGAAACCGGAAATGGCATTTCACGCAGCGGTCGCGTACATGCCTCAACTTAGAAACCGGAAATGACATGTGACGCAGCAGCGGTTACGTTCATGCGCGGAATATTCACGAAACGCGCTGCTTGGATGCCGTCGAGGGCTCGCGTGTATTGACATTGATTGCAAGCGGTTGGTTTCGGATTGAAACGGAGCATGCGAGGCATGCGGTCTGTTTGTTACAACCGTACTGGGTGCGAGGGAGCGGCTGCAGGCGTTTCTTAAGGCTCGCGTCGAACGTTCCTCAATTCCCGCCGCCCCCGCCAGAGCTGGCACGACTGTCGAGCACGATGCGAGCGACGCAGCAGCCATGGTCACAGCCTAATGGGAAAGAAACGGTGGTGTGGAAGACGCAACGCTGCTCTAGTGAAAACCGATCAATTTCATTTCTATCCACCACCACTCCACACCTCAATCCATTCTCCAACTCCCCCATTGGAGAGTGGAGGGGGAGTTAGGGCGCGTGCGTTCCGTTCCCAAGTTCGAAAAAAGGTTCGAACTTTTGCTGGTTACCTGATTCATTAATTTCGCCAAAAGCGTCTAACGAACATAGCGAATTTTAGGGCTTATGAAAGTTCGAGCTTCAAAAGTGAACTTGACTCGAGTTGGCGTTGTGAACGTGCGTGCGCACGTTCACATGAGTGTGTGTGTTTTCGGCACGGACGAACATTATGCGACATTGACGACTGCATCGCGAAACAAAAAGTGGCATTATGTTGACTTGGCGAGCATGTACCGGGTAACATAAAAGTTTGAATTTTGATGTTCGACCTTGCGTGTGTGATTGCATCTTTGCAGTGTTATTCCCGCAATTTTCGAACTTCGTTACAAGGAAAGTCGAATTCCGTTTGACTTAAAGTTCAAAAAAATTTCCCCAAAAAATGAACTTTGTCAAATTTGACGGAACGCACGCGCCCTTATCCAAACGTCAGCTACGGGGAACGCATGGTCCCCCGCACGGTACTGTAGGCCCGCCGCCGCCCCCTTCGAAATCCTTTCGCGGAACAACAGGCGGCTGCCAAGACAAGCATGAACCTAGTCCCCTAACCTCGTTAGGAAAATACCCCACACACAGCAATGTAAGCAGAAGTCAAGAACAATATGGATCGATAGAGAAACCGCAACTATACAATAATAAGCATGCACATAAAAAACACAGTAATTTCGTAATTTCACGATTCTCAATGACTTTAATACTGGTACCGTATTACACTCTCACTGAATTTCCCATTAGTGCAGGCTTTTAAAATTAGTTATTCGAATTTCACATGTCAGACTTGCCAGTGAGTTCGGTCTAGTGTTCATCAATATCTAGCAATTAAACAAATATAATTGTAGCCTTTCATGTTACTTGATTGCGTCACCCCTACGTTTTCCGAACAAATTTGAACATTTGAATTTCGCTCGTCCCCTTTGAATGGACATGTCCATCGCATTTGGACTGGTGGGTCGCTTGTTATTTTCGCCAAATTATTGACGAAGCTTCGCTCGGCTTGAACAGGCCAAGGAAACTTGTTCGTTAATCCACCAGCATGTACTAGAGTCATCGTCACTCATCCCACTGGTTCCGCGATTAGTAACCCAGTCACAATCTCTGCGTCCTTGAACCACCTCAACCTGAGGGACTGACGTCTCAGCGTGATGCAAAAACAAAAACAAACGCAAGGCAAATGCAACAACAGCCAAGATGCAAGCTAGTTTCTACCGGCTTTCGCCAACAGTTCGCGGCGCAGCTTGACCCTTGAAAAAAACGCGAAACCGCCTCTCCTAGATTTCGCGCCCGCGGCGGTGCGACGCCAGAAATGCCTCAAAATTTCACAGTCTCTCACGGTAGTAGCTAGTAGTATCGCGGGGAAGAATGGCCCCGGGCTGCTCCATCTGCTACGAGGAATTTGTCGCGGAGGACTCGCTGCAAGTCGTCGTGGAATGCGGCCACGTGTTCCACACCCATTGGTGCTCGCCCCCTCTCCTCCTTGCACACCTCTATCTCCACAACCGTTTCTCACGCTCCTTCCACTTATTATTCTCGCCCTGACCCCCCCTCCCCACGCCCCTCATTCACAACTGCCACATCAGCTGCATCTCACTCTGCGCCTGAGCCGTGCACATACTCCCCTTAATTTTCACCCGATCTCCATTCGAAACCTCCTGTTCTTCCTCGTCCCCTCTTTTCCCCCCCTCCTCTTCCCAACCTTCTAATTCTCCCGCTTTATCCGTCCCACAGCCTTCAGCAGTGGCTGGAGTGCAAACCCCGCAAGAGCTGCCCCTTCTGCCGTGGCGCGTGCTCGCGCCGTGTCCTCCACGTGTTCCTCTCCGACCTCTCTAGCGCGGACGCGGATGGCGCAGACGCCTGCCGCGCAGCCAAGCGGAAGAAGGTTGGGGAGGAGTCGGGAGAAGAGGGCGCGGGGGAGGGTGGCCGAGCTGCTGCTGCTGCGCTGAAGGTTAGTGATCGAGGTTCAATGGGCGCAGGTGCGATTGAATCGAACCCGTTCTTAGCAATACTTCCCCCCTCCACTGTGGATGACAGCTAATTCAACAGCCTAGTGCAGGTGACTTGCAGCGCTGCAAGTGACTATTTGTGCAGAGAGCGGCAGGTCATCTATTCACCCAATTCAAGTGCTTATCCTTGGCACTGCATGCTGCTCTTCTCCTTGCACGTTCGTTTTCAGGAACCCTCACTCCCCCTTTCCTCCCGATTTTGCTCCACCCCTTTCTCCCTACAACTCTCCCCCCATCCCGCCACCCCGTTCAGCATGCAGAGACGCGGGTTGCGGAGCTGAAGGCGTCGTTGCGAGCAGAGCAGGTGGCATTCACGCAGCTCAAAGCCGAGGTGCGTGCTGGCACAAACAGTGGTGGTGGGTGGTTGGGGACTGGTGGCTGTTTTTGAGGCATGTCAAAAGCAGGTGGCAGCACTGAAGGCGCCGTTGAGAGCAGAGTTGGTTGCGCTCACGCAGCCCAAAGCTGAGGTGCGTGCTGTCTCGCGGTGCTGCTGCTGCTGGTGGTTGGGGAACGGTGGCTGGACTGACGGGTGAATAGGTTCGTTGGTGGGGTGGTTGAGTGAGCTTGATGATTAGTCAATTGCATGGCACACATGGCAAATGGCACACGGCACACGGGACATGGCACTTGGCACATGAATTGTGATGGTGTGGGAATTTATCACCTCGCCATTCCATTCCCCCATTTTCAATCCAACCAGCCCGCCACGTCCTCTACACTTTCTTCTGTCACTCTGCTCCCTCACACAACCTGATCCCTTCCCATCTCTTCCCACCCCTTCCCACCCATCCAATCTCCCCGCATTCCCTACCATCCTTCTTTCATGTCCCATGCGGGGTAGCAGGCGGAGCGCAGCAAGCAGCGAGTGGGGGAGGCGGAGAGGGAGAGGGACGAGGCACGCACCGCAGCGGTGGTGCAGAGGGCGGCGTATGCGCGGGAAAAGGAGCACCTGCTGGTGGCCGCACACGTGCTGCGCGGGGTAGGGCAGGGGGGAGGGGGGGGGGCGGGCGGGGGAGAGGGAGAGAGGGAGGGGAGAGGGGGGAGAAGGGGGAAGAGGGGGGAGATTGGGGAGTGGGCGGAAAGGGGACGAGAATACAGTGGAGAGGACAGAAGGGAGTGTAAGGGAGGTTGGGGGCTGGGCTGGTGGTGGTAGGGAAATCAGAGTTCAGCCTACAAGTCTCAAACGCGCAGCAGCGGTGGTGCAGAGGGCGGCGCATGCGCGGGAGAAGGGGCACCTGCTGGTGGCCGCACACGTGCTGCGTGGGTTAGGGCGGGGAGAAAAGGGGCTCTAGTGAGAGAGGGGAGAGGGTGGGAGATGGGAGAGAGGGGGAAGAGAGGGGAGAAGTGAGAGAGGAGAGAGAGGGGGGGATTGAAGAGAGAGGGGAGTGGAGGGGGAGGGTGCAGTGGAGAGGATAGGACGGGGTGGGAGGGAAGTTGAAGGGGGGGCTTGGCAGGGGAAGCGGGGTACAGCTTCCAAGGTTCCGACGGCAAGACTGTGATGGGAAAGGGCATAAGGGCAGAGGAGGGGCAGACAGGCTGTTGAGGGGGATGCAAACGGTGGGGGCCGAAGGGAATTGAAGGTTTTGAAATGGTAGTTGGGGAACGGTTGAGGCGAAACGGAGTAAGTGCTGCGTACAGGAAGACTTGGCAGCATACGTGTGCTGTTTTGCTTCATCAGCGTACCTGCCCTTGCTGTCTCTTATCTGTCACGCACCTATACCGAAACCCATTCATTCACTCATGCGCACTCAGCTTCCCTCCACCTTCGCTACCACCCTCACCCTCTCTACCCCTCTCTGCTCTCTCGTCTCTTTCCTGTGCGCTATCCCTGGTGTGCCACACGCCAGGAGCTGGATGCGAAGAGCAACGAGTGCAAGGCGCTGCAAACGCAGCTGCAGCAAGCACAGTGCAGCGAAGCAGCCATGGCTCTGTACGTACCTACCCACTCTCTCGCCACCCTGCCTTCGGTTCCCCACCTTGCCTTCCCCACTTTTTGTTTTCTTGGAATTTTTTTGGCACATATGGTGGTTCTACCATTGCAGTCTATCAGTGTCCGTGCACTATCTATTGTGCATGTGCCTGTGGATGTGCATGTGCATGTCTTTGTATCCCTGCATCAACTCAGCCCAAGTGTGCATGTGCATGCCTCACACCCACCCACCCATGTATCCGATCCCCTCTAGGCCCCACACACACACCACTCCGCCTCTCCCCAAACAACCTCCAACTTCCCCCTTCACACCCGCACATGCCAGCATGCAGCAGGTAGGAGAGAGCAAATAAGGGCCGCTTAGGGCGGCTCACCTGGCAGCAGCAGCTACCGCTTTTGCTGGTGCTGCCAGTGCCAACGTTTGGGACGATTTCAAAGCCCACAGAACCCTCTCCTCTCCAATCCCTTCCTCCACCAACATGTTTCAGCATGCAGCAGATAGAGCTGAGCAAGGAAAGGCTATTGAAGATGGCTCGCATGGCAGCAGACGCAGCAGCCACAGACTCAGCTGCCGCCGCGCCGCCGCTGCCAGCACCGACCTTTTAACGCCTTAAGGCCCAAACAAACCCTCTCTCCTCCAACCCTTCCTCCCCATCCCCCCCGCACCCACACACGGCAGCATGCAGCAGATAGAGCTGAGCAAAGAAGGGCTGCTCAAGATGGCTCGCATGGCAGCAGGCGCAGCAGCCACAGACGCAGCTGCTACCGCTGCCAGCACCGACTTCTGAAACGTCTTACATCCCAAACAACCCTCTCCCCTCCAACCCTTCCTCCCCACCATTTTCCCCCACCAATATATTTCAGCATGCAGCAGATAGAGCTGAGCAAGGAAAGGCTGCTCAAGATGGCTCGCATGGCAGCAGGTGCAGCAGCCACAGACGCAGCTGCCGACACTGCCAGCACCGACTTTTGAAACGTCTTACAGCCCAAACAACCCTCTCCCGTCCAACCCTTCCCCCCCACCATTCCCCCCCACCTACATGTTTCAGCATGCAGCAGATAGAGCTGAGCAAAGATGGGCTGCTCAAGATGGCTCGCATGGCAGCAGGCGCAGCAGCCACAGACGCAGCTGCCGCCGCTGCTGCTGGTACCACCAGCGCCATCCGCGTGGGAACGGGTATAGGCAGCAGCGGTGGTAGGGGCAAGCAGGGGAAGGGCAAGCAGGCGTGGATGCTGGACGAGGGTGGAGATGATGACGGCTGCAATGGCAGCAACAGCAGTGATGCTGGTGTGATCTGCGTGCTGCAGCACACGCTGATGGAGAGAAACAAGTAAGGAGCGCGCTGTTCACATGTTGTGGGGATTCTTTGGGCGCCTCAAAATTTGCTGCACGTGGTTCACATCACATGTTGTTGACATGTTGGTGGTGGTGGTGGTGGTGGTGGTGGTGGTGGTGGTGGTGGTGGTGGTGGTGGTGGTGGTGGTGGTGGTGGTGGTGGTGGTGGTGGTGGTGGGTGGTGGTGGTGGTGGTGGTGGTGGTGGTGGTGGTGGTGGTGGTGGTGGGTGGTGGTGGTGGTGGTGGTGGTGGTGGTGGTGGTGGTGGTGGTGGTGGTGGTGGTGGTGGTGCAGACTGGTGTGGTACTATACAGGGTGGTGATTTTTTAGTAGACTAGAATATAATTGCTGCTAAGGTGGTGCAAGATGGCATGGGTTGGTGCAAGGATGCACTATGAAGTAACGTTCCTGCATGTTCCGCCTGCCTCTTCTTGCTTCTTCCCTTCCCTCAGCTCCCTCGCCCGTATCCTTTTTCGTATCCCCTTGTGCCTGAGAAAATTCAGAAGCATCCCCTCATTCTTGCCCCTCTCATCTCTGCCCCCTCGCCCGCTCTCCCCTCCGCACCCTTGCCAGGCAGTACAAGGAGCTACTCACCAAGTTCTCGCGCCTCACCTCACAGCACTCGCTACTCGCCTCCACCAATGCTCGCCTCTCCGCCCTCACTGCTAAATTGCAGGTACTGCTCTGCTGCTAAATTGCAGGTACTGCTCTGCTGCTAAACTGCAGGTACTGCTCTGCTGCTAAACTGCAGGTACTGCTCTGCTGCTAGGCTGTAGGTACTGCTCTGCTGCTAAACTGCAGGTACTGCTCTGCTGCTAAACTGCAGGTACTGCTCTGCTGCTAAGCTGCAGGTACTGCTCTGCTGCTAAACTGCAGGTACTGCTCTGCTGCTAAACTGCAGGTACTGCTCTGCTGCTAAACTGCAGGTACTGCTCTGCTGCTAAGCTGCAGGTACTGCTCTGCTGCTAGGCTGCAGGTACCGCTCTGCTGCGGCCAGGCTGCAGAAGGTAGTGCGATGCGAATGCAGAGCTTTCCTGAGTGAAAGAAGCCTTGCTATCAACCTTTGGTGTTACTAGCCTGCAGGTGCAGTACAGGTAGCACATGTGTGGTCCCTTACAGGAGACCTTTGAGTCGACTCAAAAGTCACCTGCAGTACAGCTAGCACATGTGTGTGTTGGACTCCGTGCAGGAACTGTGTGGTCCCTTACAGGAGAGCAATCCCTTGAGGTCCTTTGATTGACCTGTGAGTCTCTCCGAGACTCCTTCCTCTCGTGCAACAAGCTGCTTCGGTGTGTGTCCTTTGAGCGAGCGTTGCAAGGCACTGGGGATTTTTCATGCTTCACTTGCTGTCGCACTGCCACGTGCCAAACGTCAACATTCACGCCTCTCATCTCCCCTCCCGCCCCTCCCTCCCCTCCGCTCCCCTCCCCTCCCCTCCCTCCGCTCCCTCCCCTCCCCTCCCCTCCCCTCCCCTCCCCTCCCCTCCCCTCCCCTCCCCTCCCCTCCCCTCCCCTCCCCTCCCCTCCCCTCCCCTCCCCTCCCCTCCCCTCCCCTCCCCTCCCTTCCCCTCCCTTCCCCTCCCCTCCCCTCCCTTCCCATCCCTCTGTGTGCAATAGTCCCAAGTAACCCAGCTCAAGGCTAACGCCGCCCCCTCTGCCACCACCCCACCTCGCTCCTCTCGCACTCCTGCCCCTGTCGCTTCCCCTACCCCTGGAGCCGGTGGTACTGGTTCTGGTGGTGCTGCTGCTGGTGGTGGTGGTGGTGCTGCTGCTGCTGGTGCGGCGTCGGCTCACGTCCCTCCCCGCACCCCTGCGCCTTTTTTTATTATAGGAGGGGCGTTGCAGGGGGTGCCCGGCCTTCATAAGAAGCGCATGCAAGCAGGGGCGAAGGGGGGGGAAGAGGGGAGGGAGAAGGGAAGAGGAGGAGCAGGGGAGAAGGAAGAGGAAGAAGGGGGAAAGGAAGGAGTGGTTGGTGGTAAGAGAGGAGTTGCTGGAAAAGGAAGTGGTAGAGATGGTGCTCCTGATTCTGTTCCTGCTGCTTCTGCTGCTGCCCGTGCTTCTTCTGCTGCTCCTGCTGCTGCTGCTGCTGCTGCTGCTCCTGCTCCTCCTGCTGCCTCTCCTGCTCCTGCTGCTGCTGTGGGTGCTGCTGCTAATGTGGGTGCCGCTCAGGGCGAATTTCGTAATAGCAGAGGAGAGGAGAGACGGCAGCAGGCTGTCAGAGAGAGCAAGGCCACAGAGGAAGCAGGGCAGGGGGAGGGATGTGAAGAGAGGAGAGGGAGCTGTGTGCTGTCTCCGTTCCCTGTGCGAGGGAGGAAGATGGCAGCAAAGGGAGCAGCGCAGCAGCACGCGCAAGAGGCACAGCGCGAGTCACAGTTACCACCTGTGCAGGACGTGTCACAGGCGGCGGCACACGTGCATGAGAGCAATCCGGATACTCGGCAAGAAGGGAGAAGTGTTGAGGGGAGGGTGCAGGGTGGGGAGGCGGAGGAGGAAGGCGGGGTTACAGGAGCATGCAGTGGTGGGTCCAGAGGAAGAGAGGGACCAGTTTTTGAGTTGGCTACGAAATCAGCTGGTGGTGGGGCATGTAGTGGTGATGTGAGAGGGCGACAGGGGCCGGGAGGAGTGTGGGGAGAGCAGCATGCAGAGAATGATGTTATATGTTTAGATGATGACGATGATGAGGAGGAGGATGAGGCATGTGAGGGGGCATGTGAGGAGGAGGAGGCATGTGAGGAGGAGGAGGCATGTGAGGAGGAGGAGGGAGGCGAGGTGGAGGAGGATGATTTCCTGGAAGGGCTGCTTCATGCTGCTGACGACCTAGCTCCCCCTGCATGCACCGTGCCTGCTGCTATGCCCATGGGACGAACAGCCTCAGTAACAGCAAAGGTGACAGCTGCAGCAGACAGATCAGTAGGAAGAGGAGGAGAGGCAGCAGCAGAAGCAGCAGCAGGAGCAGCGGCAGCAGTGGGAGCGTCTGCACTCCCAGGTCATGTGAGCGAGGTGGAGGAAGAAGGGTGGAGAGGAGGAGGTGTGGCAGGTGCGACGGAAGGGAGAGGAGGAGAGTGGGCAGGTGGAAGAGCGGCGCATGTGGATCAACCCTGCGGTGCTGGTGCAGCGGGTAGGGAAGAATGGTGGGAGGAGGAGGACGAGGGGGGCCGGCAGAGGGAGCAGGAGAGTGAGCGGGGAGGGGATTGGATGTGCGACGAGGCGTATGGTGATGGGCACGAGCAGGTGCAGCCACCGTTGTCACATTCAGGTGAGTATCAGTTCAACCAATCAGTGGGTCAACCAATCAGTGGGTCAACAGGTAAGCAGCACTCTCTTTCGAACAATCCTTCTTGTCAATGATTGGCAAGCATGCAATGTTGCTGCTCGCTCTTGTGTAATACTCTGTATGAGCGCACTGTGGCATGCCTTTTGCTGCTCTCTGTTGAGTGGTCCTCTCCCCTGTACTAGTGCACCTTGGAGTAGAACTTGATACAGGTTAGGGATCCTGCTATGCCATGTATGCTGTCGTTGCTGTCATGTCCTGTCATAGACCGTGTGCCACGTTTGTGTCAGATCCTTCTGTCCAAACATGTCCATACATGTCCATGCATGCCTATCCATGTCCATCCATGTCCATTCATGCCCATGCATGCCTATCCATGTCCATCCATGTCCATGCATGCCCATGCATGTCCATGCATCCTGCACCATCTGGCACACCGTTTCCAACCCCTTGTCTCTCACTCTCTCCCTCCTCTCTTCTTGCACCCTCTTCCCCACTTCTCAACCGTGCCTTCCCTCCCTCCACTGCAGCCCTCCCAACCCCCCAGTTCTCTCGCCTCGCACACTCCTCCCTCCCCTCTCTGAAGCGCCAGAAGCCACAACCCACCTTCCTCTCCTCAGCCCGCTCTTTTGCCCACTCAAACCGCTCTCAAAACCAGCAGCAGCAGGCAGGGCATGCAGGGGGGCAGGTGCAAGTGCGTGTGTCGGGTCGCAAGGCTGCTTTTGTGCTGGCTCCGAAGCACCTTCCTGGCATGCACGACCCGTGTGTATATGCAGCTCCTGTGCGCATTTCTGCTGGTAATTGCAGCAACAGCTGCAGCGGCACCACAAGAACTGCTGCTGCTGCTGATGCGACTGCCCATGGTGCTACTGCTAATGGTACCACCACTGCCACTGCTGCTGCTGCTGCTGCTGCTGCTGCTGCTGCTGCTGCTGCTGCTGTTGCTGATGTTGGTGGTGCTGGTGCTGGTGCTGCTCCCGCCGCTGGTACTGGTGCTGCTGCTAGTGACAGTGGTGGTGGTGATGATGGTGCAAGGGGAGCAGCAGGGATGAGCGCATCAGGTGCGGCAGCAAGTCACAGCAATGACTCCACCAGTGCTGCACAGCCGATTGCAGGGGCACACAAAGGACCTGGGTCAGGGACAGACACAAGGACGGAGACAGCGGCAGGGGCAGGAGCAGGGATTCAAGCAGGCTCCAGTGGTAGCACACAGAGCAAACCCGTGTCATCTGCTCGCACCTCGTTGCCCTCGTGTGCTTCTCCTCCCCGTCCATCGCCCTCCGGTGCTCCTCTCGTGGCCATGGGTCCCGATGGCAGGGGTGGGGTGCAACGGATACTCAAGCTAAGCAGCACCGAGGTGAGTGAGTGGTCTGAACAGAGAGAGTTATACTATTGCTCTGAGTGCCTTCCTTATCGGTGTTACTTATGCATCTAAGTATCAATTGACGTCTTTTGCACTGGAGTAGTGAGCTGCACTTACATGTGGTTTTTAGTGAATATGCTCACACCGGCTCCTCCTTCCTCTTTTCCCCGTTTTGTCCCTCTCCTACCACCCTCTCTCCTACCCTGTTTTCCAGCTTTCACGATCCGCACTTCCCGCCAAGCGCAAGCCGGCGAAGGGCAAGGCACATACTGCTCCAAGAGCGAAGGACATGCACCGCATAGACGGGTACTTCAACCGGCAATGATGATTGATGGAATGGAAGATGTGGAGAAGTTTAGGCCGGGGCAGGAAAGCAGCAGCACCAAGTAGGAGATAAAAAGCTGGGGGAGGGTATGTTATGCTACGATGCTCCTACATTTTTTCATGCCTTTTGCAAGCAAACGTTTGCACCCAAAAAGGTACCATACCGTATGTTCGCTGGTTTATGTTCCAGTGTTTTTTTAAGATGAAATGTTTTTGACCCGCCACTACACTTTGAAGCAGATTCTGAACCTGTAGGGAGAGCAAAATAGGCCAGGCTGTAGGTGTACCATCAAAACCACCCCAGGGGGAACTAGGCGACACGTCAGGCGGGCCCACACCCTACCCGTTACCACGCACCTTCCCAGGCAAAGGGCACAATTCCAGCCCATTCCACGCACCGCACTCTTGAGTTCTCGCCTCCACTGCCGCCGCCAGCATGCACGTGCCCCACCCCCACCATGGCCCCTCCTCTGGCCACGCAAGCCCCGCTGCCTCGTGTGCTCGACGGTATTCCCAAAGGGCCCCCACCACTCGCCTCTTTCCCCCATCCCCTCTTCCCCGCTGCGCCGCGGATCTGCGGAGAAAGAGGTTTCTCTCCGCGTGCGCGCTCGTTACCGTCGGACTACTAGCCGCAGAGCAATGGTGTGGGGGGGGGCAGGTCAAGAGCAGCAAATGCTAGATGTGCTAGTGCCGCGGAGCGGACGACCCGTCGCCTTTGCCCGGCGAAAGAATGATGGGCTATCCCTGTGCTTCCTCAATGTCGCCTCGGCCTCTGGAATGCTGTGCAAGTGGGATATGCTTTCGACTGGAAAAGCGACTGGAAAAAAGACGGACACGGAGTTTCTCTTCTCTATCTCGGGTCTCGGCGCGCATATCAGATCTGAAAGCGCTTGTGGAACCTAGTAGTAGGAGGCGGTATCATTGTCCTCATCATGTCGAGGCGTTTCGTTCGAGCCGCAGCTTCACCTTTTCGAGCTTGCTTCTATCGCTTACCTCTTCTCTCCCGCGAACCACCCTCGCTCATCCCTCTTGACTGCACCCCGTGCTCCTCGCCCCTCGCTACAATCACACCCAAAGCATCGCTCCATGCTTACGCAATAAACCCTTCGATGCACAACAGCCCGACCACGAGATCCCTTCCACCGCTACAATCACTCTCCAAGTCAGGCCTTTTGGGGAAAACGCGCGATTTGAACGCGACTGAGGCCCAGCCACGGCGGTACGAGTCACCAGCGGTCCGCGCAGCGCCCTTTTCGCTGAGCCAGCGCAACTGGCAGGGGCAGTGGCAGGGACAGGGATGGCGGAACGAGCAGCGGGGCCAGCAGCGGGAGCAGCGGGGAGGGCGGCAGTGGGAGCAGCGGGGAGGGCGGCAGTGGGAGCAGCGGCGGTGGGTAACATACATGCCGCGGCCGGGGGAGAGCGCCCCGCGCACGGTGACGCTGATGCCTGGGGATGGCATTGGCCCGCTCGTTGCTGACGCCGTCGTGCAGGTGCGTGTGATGGTGCTGCTGCTCTGGCGCTCCCCTGACCTGCGCTTACCTGTTCTGAGCTCTGCTGACTGACTTGCTCCGACCTCCCCACTGACTTTTTCTGAGCTTCCCAACTCTACCTGGTTGTGAGCTCCTTAAAGCTGTCCAGATCTTGCTTTTCCCAACCGACCTCCCTCATGTATATCCAACCCCTCCCCTCCCCTTCCTCCCATTTCCCCTCGCTGTGCATGTCTCACGCTGCCCCTCCCTGGTGCTTGCGTGCTGCCATTCATACACCAGTGCAGTTCAAGGTGTCCTTTACGAACGTCCACTCAGGAATCCCAGCTTGCATTGCAGTGTGGCCCTCCCCCCCCTGGCAGGTCCGCGCGATTATCCACACTCCAGTGCAGTTCAAGGAGCTCTTCTGAGGTCAACACGCCAACTCAGAAGTTCACCTCGCTGCGCATGCGTCCTATCTCGCCATCTCCCCCTTGCAGGTACTGGCGGCCATGCGGGCGCCGGTGCAGTTTGAGGTGTGTGAGATCAGTGGCAGGATGCCGCGCCTGCCTGCTGACGTGCTCGACTCGCTGCACCGCAACGGCGTTGGGCTCAAAGGCGGCCTCGCCACACCCGTGAGTGCTCTGTGCTGTGTGCCTCGCAACCCGCGAGTGCTCTGTGCTTTGCATGGTTGCACGCTTCCTGTTGAGTCGACTGAAAGATCGGAAGTGCTGACTTTGCTGCACCGCAACGGCGTTGGGCTCAAGGGCAGCCTCGCCACTCCTGTGAGGGCTCTTTCCCTTTTCCTTGTGAATGCAGTGTGACTTTCATGCTTGCACTGCACGCCTTGTGTTGAGTCGACTCAAAAAGCACTCATACTGGGACTCCTAGGATCCAGCACAGGGCAGCCCCGCCACCCCTGTCTTTCAAAAAAGAACCACCTCCGATAATCTGAAGTTTTTTACTTTTTAGAATTCCAACGAAACTCTCTTCTCAGAACGGACCACCTCTGATTAAGCTCAAGACGGGGGCGGCGGTCCCGCCACCCCGCCAACATGCTGTTGACGTTGCCAACCTCCTTTCCTCGCCTCGCCACTGCTCTGTCGGTGATCCTCTCTGAGAACGGTGACACAGCTCTGTCAGGACAAGTATGTGGCGAGGCGACGCGAGCCTCTGAGAACGTGCTGTGCTGACTGACACACTTCTACGAACCCAGACCGACGGTCCTTCATTCAGTTGTTGATAATGCTGCTGAGAGACCTTCTTTTCTCCTCTATCCTCCTTTCCTCCCTGACTGCAGGTGGGCGGCGGGGTGAGCTCTCTCAACATGCGTCTACGTCAGGAGCTAGACCTCTTCGCCAACCTCGTCTTCTGCCATGACATTCCCATCGGCACCAAACGCCCACACCACCATGGCCCCGCCACCACACCTTCCTCTCACGCCCACGCCGATGAAAGTTCACACGAGAGGGCTGAAAGTAATGCCGGAGAACTGGGGGCGGGGGCAGGGGCGGGCGAGCAGGGGCAGGGGCATGCGCGAAGAGACGTGGCGGAAGCGCTTCGGCGGCGGCCGCAGGGGGTGAACATAGTGGTGGTGCGGGAGAACACGGAGGGCGAGTACAGCGGGCTGGAACACGAGGTGGTGCCGGGCGTTGTTGAGTCGCTCAAGGTATGCCTGCTTTCCTCAATGTAACTCCTGGGTCGAATCAGAAGGCGGGCGCAGGGGGTGAACATAATGGTGGTGCGGGAGAACACAGAGGGCGAGTATAGCGGGCTGGAACACAAGGTCGTACCAGGGGTAGTCGAGTCCCTCAAGGTATGCCATGCCTCCCTCTGTGTTCCTCCTTGGTTCCCTTTGGGTTCCCCGTGGTGAAGTCTTTCAATGGGTTTGCGCACGAGGGCGAGTGGAGGGGGGAGGGGGAGGGTGAGTATATAGTGGTGGTGCGGGAGAACACGGAGGGCGAGCGAGTACAGTGGGCTGGAGCACGAGGTGGTACCTTGAGCCTTGGGTCGTCGTGTCCCTCAAGGTATGCTTGCTTCCCTCTCTCGAGGGTGGTACCTAAGCCTCTGGTCGTCGAGCCGCCTCAAGGCTCGTGGGTTTCCTCATGTTAAGCTCGCCCCCTCTTCTGTGTTCCTTCCACCTCTATTCTTTTGGTTGATTGATCTGGTTCCTCTATGTTCCCCCTTCGGTCCCTTCGGTTCCCTGTGGTGCCTTCTTCTCTCGCTGTGTTCTGCTGTTTGATTCTATGAATGTACGCTCAATGTATGTGCGCACATGCTTCCTGCCTGCTGCTGCTCTGTTTACTGCAACGCATACCTTCCCTTTCTTGTGTCACACACAGTATTCTGCCTTCGGTCCCCTTACCCCTCCTCAGTTCACTTCCCTCCTGCAATCCCTTCCCACCTTATTGTTACCCCATTCCAACATCTTCCCCTTCCCCTTTCCCATCCCCTTCCCCTCCCAATTCCCCCTCACCTTCTTCTTCCCCTTCCCCTACCCCTTCCCTTTCTAAACCCCTCCTCACCTCTCGCCCCAGGTGGTGAGCAAGTTCTGTTCGGAGCGCATAGCTCGTTATGCCTTCCCTTCCAGTACGCGTACCTCAACGGTCGCCGGGCAGTCATGGTTCCCGGGCTTTCCCCTTCCCCTTCCCCCCTACCCCTCCCCCTCCCCCTCCCCCTCCCCCTCCCCCTTCGCCCCAGGTGGTGAGCAAGTTCTGTTCGGAGCGCATAGCGCGCTACGCCTTCCAGTACGCGTACCTCAAAGGCCGCCGGGAAGTCATGGTTCCCGGGCTTTCCCCTTCCCCTTCCCCCCTACCCCTACCCCTCCCCCTCTCCCTCCCCCTCCCCCTCCCCCTCGCCCCAGGTGGTGAGCAAGTTCTGTTCGGAGCGCATAGCTCGTTACGCCTTCCAGTACGCGTACCTCAACGGCCGCCGGGCAGTGACAGCGGTGCACAAGGCCAACGTTATGAAGGTCTCTGACGGGCTCTTCCTCGACTCCTGCCGCCAGGTGCGATGAGACAAAATGGGAGCGCCAGTTTTGAGATGTTTCACAACCAGCCTTCTTTCACGCGCCTTCCAGTACGCGTACCTGAAGGGTCGTAGGGCAGTGACAGCGGTGCACAAGGCCAACGTCATGAAGGTCTCCGACGGGCTGTTTCTTGACTCCTGCCGCCAAGTGAGTGGGCCAAGAACCTTGGGGTTTTTGCAGGTTTTGAGGGTTTTGATCGCTTTTAGCGTTCTTAGGGCTTTGAGGGTTTTGAGGTGCGTGGTGAGTGGCCATGTTTCATCATGCTGACCTGCGGTGCCTTAATGAGGAATTTCTCCTCACCCATCTCCTTCGTACCCTCCCACACTCCTCCCCCTGTACTCCCCCTTGGGCCCTCGCCCTTCCTCGGCTTCCTTCTGTCTCACCTCGCATTGGAGTGGGCAGGTGCCGCAGGCGTACCTGCATCTGCAAGATCGTGGACAACTGCTTGTGAGTCAACTCAAAAGATATCCCGTTCCCTGCTCCTCCGCCCTCCGCGTGCTGTGGTGTTTTGGTGGCAGGTGGCCCAGTCGTACCCACAGCTGCGCTGCAGCGAGATCATCGTGGACAACTGCTTGTGAGTCAACTCAAAGTTGTCCTGTTCCCCGCCCTCCACCCTCCGTGCAGGTGGCTCAGTCCTACCCGCAACTGCGCTACAGTGAGATCATAGTGGACAACTGCTGCATGCAGCTTGTGCGCCGCCCCCAGCAGTTCGACGTCATGGTGCGGTGCGGTGCAGGGTGGTGCGGTGCAGTGGTGGGGGGAGTACGGTGGGGGGGAGGCTTTTATGTGGGGTTGGTTGGCACACGAGGGGGCAGCACAATGGGTGGTGGCACATGGGGGTAGGATGGGCAATGGGGAGGGGTGGTTGGGGGATTGGGGTGGTGGCATGCGGTGTGGGGTGGGATGGATGGTGGGGTAGGTTGATTGATGGCAGCAGTTGCATTGCGCTAGCAAACGGGCATGGGAGTAAGCGAGGGATGGAGGGAGGGGATAATGGGGGAGGAGCAAGGGTTGTCTGGGTATGTGTTCTGGGATGCTGCAAAAAAAATTTGATCGTGCACCGAAACCAGCTGTTTTGAGATGTCTCGAAACAACTCTTCTATCAGTATAAGTAGGTGATTTTCAGCTTCCTTGGTGTGGTCATTTGCTTGTTTGGCTCTGTGTGGTTCGAGTTGAAGGTTTCAAAATGTTGTGTTATCGTGTGTGGGGTTGCCTGGATGTCTGTATGGCTGGGTGGGTAGGGTGATTGTGTGTGGGGTTGCCTGGATGTCTGTATGGCTGGGTGGGTAGGGTGATTGTGTGTGGGGTTGCCTGGATGTCTGTATGGCTGGGTGGGTAGGGTGATTGTGTGTGGGGTTGCCTGGATGTCTGTATGTCTGTATGCGCTTGTGTTGTGTGAGCGTGTGGGTGCATGTGTGCGCATGTGCATGCATGGTGGAATGCCATATCCCCCTCCATCCCCATATACCAGGTGACGCCCAATCTCTACGGCTCTCTGGTCGCCAACACAGCAGCAGGCATCTGTGGGGGCTCTTATCTCATGCCCGGAGGTACTTCATACAGGGCAGGGGAGGGTATCTGAGTGTTGGGATGGGCAGAGGGGGGCTATGCACTGGGGATTGCAGTGGGAATCACTCCGTTTCAAAGTGCAACCGCTGGCATGTTTTGAATATCCCCCCACCCGCCTCCTTGTTCCTCGATCTCCTCACCACACCCTCCCACATATAGCCTACTCACCTTCCTCCTCCTCCCCACCTCCACTCTCTTCCCTCCCACCCTTTTTCCCACCCTTTTCCCACCATCTCCCCTCTCCTCCCAGGTAACGTGGGTGACAATGCAGCAGTATTCGAGCAGGGAGCATCGGCAGGCAACGTGATTAACAACTTATGAACTGACGTAAAAACCTATCGTTTCCCCTGTGCTCTTTCCCCGCCTCCCAGGCAACGTGGGCGACAATGCAGCAGTATTCGAGCAGGGAGCATCGGCAGGCAACGTGATTAACAACTTATGAACTGACGTAAAAACCTATCGTTTCCCCTGTGCTCTTTCCCCGCCTCCCAGGCAACGTGGGCGACAACGCAGCGGTGTTCGAGCAGGGAGCATCAGCAGGCAACGTGGGCAACGAGCGCATGGTATCAGAGCGCACAGCCAACCCCACGGCTCTTCTGCTCTCAGCAGCCATGATGCTGCACCACCTGCACCTGCCGGTGTTTGCGGACCGAGTGGAGGGGGCCGTGAAGGGCGTGCTGGCGGAGGGGACTGTGCTTACCCCGGATATGGGCGGCAGGGCCACCACTCAGGATATGGTTGATGCGATCGTGGATAGGCTGGGGTGAGGGGCGAGGGAGGAGGGGTGAGGGAGGAGGGGTGAGGGGTGAGAGGTGAGGAGTGAGGGGTGAGGGAGGAGGGGTGAGGGGTGAGGAGTGTGTCTTTGGTTTCTAAAGAACCTTACATGAGATGTGTTGTTGACCATGTGTGGTTGGCAGACAAGCCAAGCTTGGGCCGGGGCCTAGTCTTGGGCTGTTGCTGGGATGGAACGGGATGGATTCATGGGGTGGTTGGTTGTTGACAGGCCGGACAGTCTCAACTTCTCAAGGCAGGATTGGGTTGGATGGGATGGTACGTCTGGTGAAATGAAGGTGGGTGGTAGGGAGGAACAACACTGGCGTTCACGCATGTTGATGTGACATGCCGGTCTGCTGCTGTGGCATGGCATGATGTGTTGGGAGGGGGTTGGGTTTACGGGAATAAGAAGTGTCAAGTCAATACTGCCAGTTGCAGGCTGCTGATATGGCAGTAAGCGAAGCCTTGCACCAATTGGAGTTTAGACTTTCAGATGCACATTGGTGATGGGCGATTTGATTTGAACCAATGGCATCAGCTCGCATGCTGACAAACAAAAGAATTGGTTTTGCGGTACGACGGTAGCTGTTGTAGTGTACATATGAACTGGTACTGTCCTGAATAAATTGCATTGGCTCCTTTATCACCAAACGTTGCTGTTCAGCTTATAGATTCATATGGTAATTCATGAAACACTTGCACTTGCACGGTCCATCCACATCCAAGACAAGACACTCTCTGCAAGGATAAATTACCATAACCTGTACCACCAACCGACTTCCCTCACTTGCATTCCTCCCACATACGCCAACTCCCTGCGTTTCTCCACCCGCCAATGCTGTGCCAGAACCACCTGTTCGAGAATTCGTGAAAGACCACTCCTCTTGTGCCAGCGCCACACACACAGACACACACCCTGCAAGCCGCTTCTAAACTGAACTTCCTTCTACCCTTGCGGGCCTAGCAGCACCTTTCTTCACTAACCGGCTCCACTCCACTCCATCTGTGTCCTCTCTTGCATTTCATTCTCCTATACCGTACTCCTTGAAACATTTCCTTCAGCACCTCCACTCGTTCCCCTTCGCTCCATCTGTCCATCAACCCATCAACCAGCCAACGTGTCACTCACTCCACCGGCGCACCCTACTCCTCAGGCAGGAAGGTCACTCAGGCCCTTCCTGCCTGCCCCCTTCACCTTCTTCTTCTTGGATTTCGACACATTCTTCTCCCTCTTCTTCTCCACCGCCTTGTCCCTGCGCCCACCACCAACTGCACGCCCGCCACCTTCCGTCACATCCCCTTGTGCCCCTTCTGCTCCTTCTCCTCCTTCCACCCCTTTCGACGCTTCTGCTCCTTCCGCCCCTTCTGCCCCACCTGACTCCCCTGCCATGTCCACCTGCTTTTCGGTCTTCACACTCCCCTCTCCCTCCTCCTCCCTCACTCCCTTCACACCCTTCACCGCCTTCCCTCCATTCTCCTCCTCCTTCTCCTCCTCACTCAACCCCTCTGACAATCCCCCTACTTCCTTCGACTTCTTCTTGCCTTTTTTCACCTTTGACTTGCTCTTCCCCTTCACCGCCTTACTAATCTCCCTCTCCTCCACTTCGTCCCCACCCACCTCCTCCTTCCCGCCACTCTCCTGCTGCCCCCCCGGCTCATCTCCGCCGCTCTTCACCACCCCTGCTGCCTCCCTGCCTACCCCAGCCACACCCTCTCCCTTCTCTGACCTGCTGTCCCCACCTCTAGTCTTCGCCACACCTGCCTTGTCATCCTCCTGCCTTGCTGCTTCTCCTCCTCCTGCGTCTTCTCCTTCCCCTGCTTCTCCCACTTTCTTCCGCACCACCACTGCATCCTGCCCTCCGTCGCCCACACCACCCGCCTCACCCCCATTCGCACCCCCGTTCACACCACCAGCCAGCCCACCCTTTCCACCCTTACGTGCCTCTGCATCCGCATCTGCACGAGCCTCTTCTGCTCCATTCGCCTGCCCCACCTTATCAGGCACAGCCATAAGGTCCTCTCCTTCCTGCACCGCCCTGCCTTCCGCTGCCAGCGTTGCCGCCGCGCTCCCCACCGCCTCTGCTGTACCTGCTGCCGTGGCTGTCCTGTTGCCTGCTGCCTCTGCAGACACGTCCTCCCACTCCCTCTCCACCACCTCAGGCTCATTCCTCCCGCCCTTTGTGCCACTGCTAGCAGCTCCACTCTTGCTGCTAGTGTGAGGAGTATTGTCACTACGACGTGTGGTGGCATTACCAGTGGTGTCATTGTCAGCTGCCACTTTATCTTCTGCTGATCCTTTCGCCTCACTCTCACTGCTAGTCGCCTCACTCTCTGCGGTGGCCTCGCCTGCCAAAGCAGACTCGCTCTTCGCCTTGCTCTTCCTCCCCTTCTTCCCCTTCACCTCCCCCACCACCTCCTCCTGCCCCTCCTCCTCCACTTCCTCCCCCTCCGTGCTTTTCTTGTCCACACTTTTCCCATCCTTCCTTCGCTGACTTTTTTTCTCTGTCGCTCGTTCTTTCACCTTCTCCTTCTCTTTCCCTCCCTCACTCTCCTCCTCTGTCACCTCCTCCTCACTGTTCACCTTGCGCTGCCTCTTCCCCACCTCATCCCCATCAGCCGCCCCATCCACTGCAGCCTCCCCACCATCAGCCCTCTCCACCCCTTCTTCATCTCCAGCAACGGAACGAATCTCGTTCCCACCACCGCCACCATCATCAGCACCGTCCCTTCCTTTAACTCGCTTCTCCTCCTCCGTCCCCTCCCCCTCCTCCCCCTCCTCTAACTTGCCTGCTGCACTACCTGTCTTCCCCTTCATTCCCACTCCCTGAACCTTGCTCTTAATCTTACTCTTACTCTTACTTTTGGTCTGCTTCAGCCCTTCTTCATCTTCCCCCTCAATCAGCCCATCACCCCCATCATCACCCCCATCATCACTTTCCTCACCGCTCTTCCCAACGCTCTCCTCCTTACCACCCACCTCCCCTTGCTCCGCCTCTCCCTCACCATGAGCTCCCCCAGCAGCTTTCCTCACCTTCTCTTTGCCAATAGCACCTGCCACCGGCCCCTTTGTATCATCCCCTGCACTCTCAACTTCCTCCTCACCATCCTTTGCACCATCCTTTGCACCATCCTTTGCACCATCCTTTGCACCATCCTTTGCACCATCCTTTGCACCATCCTCACCTTGTGCTGCTTTCTTCTCCTTCCCTTCACCCCTTTCCTTCACTCCTTTTCCCTCTACTTTTCCCTCTGCTTCCCCCTCCGCTTCCCCCTCCACTTCTCCTTCCACTTCCTCTTCCGTTTTTCCCTTTGCTTTCCTTTCCGCCTTCACTTTAACCACCTTTCCTGCATCACTCTCCGGTGGTCCATTCCCGTAAGTCCCTGCAACGCCTTTCCCTCCACTTCCGCCACCTGCCCCTTCACCCACATCCTCTCTTTCCGCTTCCTTCTCCTTCTCTTTCTTCCCCACAATGTCCAGAGGTTGTTTTACATTCTCAGAAACTTCTTCCTCCTTCTCTTTCCCCCTCACACTACCCGATTCTCCTTCAGCTGCTGCGCCTTCCTTGCCGTGTCCTTTGCTCGGGCCATGCACCTTCTTCTTTGCCTTCGTTCCCGCTTCCTCCTCCCCTTCCTCACCTGCCTCCTCGCCTTGCTCCTCCTCTTCCTCCACCACCTCCTCCTCCTCTCGCTTCCCTTTCACCAAACCTTCTCCCTGTTCACCCCCTGCACCCTTCCGTACCTTCCCACTACCCTCGTGCCTGCCAGCCTCCCCTTCTTCTCCCATCTCCTCGCCCTCCTTTACCCCAGCCCGCAGTGAGCCGCTACCTCCATGCTTCTCCTCTCCATCATCACTCTTCCGCTTCTTCACATGCCTCTCCTTACCCTTACCCTTAGCATCAGCATCACCATACAGCAGCACCAGCACCAGCAGCAGCAGCAGCAGCAGCATCTGCAGCACCCTCACCCTCACCCTCACCCTCACCACCATCTTCAGCCTCCTTAATCCCCTCCTCCTCCTTCGCCATCTTCCCCTCCTTCGCCTGTCCATTGCTCTTCTTCCTCCATGCCTTCACCTTAAAACCCCCCAACTCTCCTTCCTCCCCTTCCGACTCTCCCTCTCCCCCCTCCAAAACTTCTCGTTTTGCTTCCTTCCCCTTGCTGTTCTTTCCTTTCCTCCTCGCTCCGACCTCCTCTCCTCCCTCCCCTCCCTCTTCTCCCTCCCCTCCCTCTCCCCCCTCCTCTCCCTCCTCTGCCAAAGCCTCTTCCTCCTCCTCATCATCCACAGGGTCAGCACCCACAGTCTCCTCATCACCTGCCACCATCACAGGCTTCTTACTCACAGGGATATGACTCATCACCACTCCCGGCTCAATCACCACCCTCCCCTCCTCTGCTTCCTCTGCGCTTCCCTTCCCATCTCCAATCTTTTCTCCCTCGCCATCCTTACCCTCCTGCGCTCCATCCTCACTCTCTTTGTCTTCTTCTCCCTTCCCACCCACGCCCTTACCCGCTTGCTTCGCCCCCGTTCTTCCTGTCTTTTCTACTCCCACTCTCACCCTCTTCTTCGTCGCTCCATCACCACTCATCACACTCCTTTTCGCCCCTTTCTTAACTTTCTGCACCTTCCTTTCCGCTGTCCCCACCCCCTCCTCTTCAGCGGCTTCATCCCCTCCCTCCCCATCCTCTTCTCCTCCAGTCAGTGTTGGCTCCTCCTCCTCACCCGCCTCAGAGCTTTCACTCTCAACCTCTTTCCCAGCCTTTTTCCCCTTTGTCCCTTTGGTCCCCTTTGTCCCCTTCGTCTTCTGCGACCCACTCTTCCCCTTCTTTGTAACCGTCGCCTTTCCAAGCCCCTTTTCACCCTCTTCGCTCTCCTCTCCTGCACTGTCATCATCCTCCCCCACTCCCCCCTCGCCACTTCTGCTCGTCTCCTCCTTGCCTCTCGTCTTCTTCTTAGTCACCTTCTTCTCTGTCTTGTTCCCATCCTCCTCTTCTTCCTCTCCCTTGTCTTCCCCTTCCAGGACAGCTGTGTCCATACCTTCTCTCCGTCTCTTCCCCTTTCCTCCCTTTCCTCCCTTTCCTACCTCTACCTCCCTCTGCACTCCCCTCTCCGCCCTCTCCTCCTCCTCCCCGTCCGCACTTCCTTCCAGACCCTCAGTTTCCTCACTAGCTTCACGCGCTGCTGCACGCTCCCCTCCATCCACCTCACCCACACCCGCACCCTCGTCACCCCCCTCTGCTGCACCTTCTTCATCTCCTTCACCTGCAGTCTCTTCAATATTCGCATACTTTATACTGCTCTTCCCACCCTTCCCATCCTTCCCACCCTTCCCGCTCTTCCCACCCGTCTCACTCGTCCTGCTTGCCTTCTTTCTGTCCTCACCCTTTTCCACACCCGTCATATCATCCTCAACCGCACCCTCCTCCCCCTCTTGCGAGTCAACTCTGCCCTTCCTCCCTTCGCCAGCAGCAGCACCATCATCAACATCATCATCACCAGTAGCACCAGCAGCCACCTCGTTCCCTTCCCCCTCCACTGTCCGCTTCCCTCTCCCCTTCCCCACGCCCTCCGCCCTTCCTCCCTCCCCTTCCCCCTCCCCTCCCCCCTCCCCCCCTCCCAGTTGCGCCATCAGAATCTCCTCCGCCTCCTCCGCCCCTCCATCATCCACCCCCTCTGAATCTCCGCCCCCCAACGCCTCCCCCTTCCCCTCCGTCGCTCCTTCAACCCCTTCCTCTTGTACTTCGTCCTTCCGCCCTCCCCCCTCTCTCTCCAGCAGTCGGTTCAGTTCCCTCTCCTCCTCCACAATATCATCCACCTCCCCGCCCTCCCCGCCCTCTCCGCCCTCTCCACCTTCTCCGCCCTCCCCTCCCCCTCCGCCCTCTCCGCCTTCCCCTTCACCCGCACCCTCCGCTTCCCCATCCCCTTCCTCCCCCCCATCAGACAGTCGAACAATGCCCTCACCCGCTACCCCCTCCCCTCGGCTGCCCAACTCATCCCCACCACCACTCGTCTCCACTGCACCCTGCTGCTCACGGCCCGGCTCTTCCCCTTCCGCTCCTGCCCTCTTGCTCCCATCTTCCAACTCTTTCTCCTGCTCCTGTTGCTGCTGCAGCCCCTGCTGCGGCGGCTCCTGCTGCTCCTGCTGCTGCGGCTGCTTCTCAGGAGTCGGATCAACAGCCGTGCCGTCATTGCCACTGCCACTGCCACTGCCACTGCCACTGCCACTGCCACTGCCACTGCCAGCGCCAGCGACAGCCGTCCCAGCAGCAGCACTGGAGGCAGCAGGATCCGCAGGGGGTGACTCAACAGCATAGAAATTCGCAGCATCAGCCGCAACAGCAGCGGCGGCAGCAGAGGTGCGAGCAGCAGCCGGGTCTGTAGCAGCTGCATCGGCAGTAGCAGCAGCAGTAGCATCAGCAGCAGCAGCAGATGGTTCAGTGTGGGCCATACGCGTGACTGTCTCTGCTTGCTCACCCCCAAATTCCCCACTTCCACCTCCTCCTCCCTCTCCGCCTGCTCTCATCACTTGCTCACCAGCACCACCACCAGCATCGCCACCACTACTCTTGCTGCTGCTACTGTCGCTGCTGGTGCCGCTATCAGCGCCACCGACAAGCAGCAGAGGCACAGGCGGCTTCCACCCAGCAGGCCCAAGCACAGTGGAGTAAAGCTCAAACCCCCCAACAATCAGCGCAAACAGCACCACCACCACACACACCCCGCTCCACACGCGCGCACTACCACACACTCCCCCCGACCCTCCCCCTCCCCCACTGTTCCCCCCCACACCCGGCCCGCTCACACTCCCCCCTCGCCTACCCTTCTCCACGTCTCTAACAGGAGACATGCTGCCCCAGCCATCCCCATCAGCACCAGGGATGTCGTCCCAATCGGGATCCCATCCCCCTCCAGCAGAAGCAGGAACGCGAGCAGCAGCGGCAGCATCTGGTTTAGGCTCGAGAGAAGGAGGAGGAGCAGCAGCAGCAGCAGCCGCAGCAGTCCCCCGGGTGAGACCCATGCGGGAGGGCCGGCCTCTGCCGCTGCTGCTGTGAGCGCTACTGCTGTGCGTGCTGGAGTGTGCTGAATCTGCAGCGGCAGCAGCAGCAGCGGCGGGTGCATTTACGGGTGCGGTGGATGGTGTGGTTGTGGTGGTGGCTGATGTGGAGAGCCAATCGGAGGGCTCGGGGATGTGCCAGCTGTCGTCGAGGTTTGCGGTGGTGTCTGATGGCCTGTGCGCATGGACGGGGAGGGATGTGGGAAGTGGGGTGGGGGGGGGGCAGAGAGGGAGGTGGAGAAGATGGGAGGGAGACATGGAGGAATAGATGGAGGGAGGGAGAGAGGGAGGGAAGGAGAGAGGGAGGGAGAGATGGATTGAGCGGTGGGGAGGGAGAGGGTGAGAACGAGGGAGGGAGAGAGGGAGGGGGGTGGGAGGGAGAGTGGGAACGGGAGAGGGAGGGAAAGTGGGACGGAGAGATGTAGAGAGGGATGGAGGGTGAGAAAGAGGAAGGGCGTGAGGGAGGCAGAGCGGGAGGCAGAGAGGGAGGGGGAAAGGGAATGGGAGAGGGAGGCCAGAGGAAGGGGATGGCATAGATTAGAGAAGAGGGGGGATGGTGATTGATGGGCGCGAGGCGAGAATTCCTACAACTGGTGGACGCTGACGTGTTCCAAAAAAAAAAACACGGTCCTGTTGAAGTTTAACGGGCGATTGGGCAGAGGCTGGAGACAAGGGAGGAGGATGCCTCTTGAGTTGAGAAGAAAAACGAATTACAGACGTGCTCGTTTGATGTGAGAGAAACGAGATGAGAAATTAAGGTAATACGCTGGCGCCTTCGCTTTTTGCCCGAGCGCGGATGGCTGAGCAACCACATGATGGAAACGCTGATGCAGGCAGCTGGCACTTGTGCGACGCTGATGTCGATACTGACGCTGATGCGGAAACGAGCACGCGGAGATCCATAAAGCGGCATTCATTAACGCCAGCACACTCCACAACGACTCGATGGCACTCCAGTGCACTCCAGTGCCCTCCTGTTGCAGGGCGAAGGCGAACTCGCCACAGGAAAGTTCGCAAGCTGGCGAACTTGTAACCCTTCGCCAAGAACCCAACCTGAAATGTGAAATTCAAGGTTGGAAATCTCAACCTGAAATGTGCGCTTCGGGATTTCTCCAAGCACACGTGAATTCCCAACCAGCAAAGCAGCAGAGAAGAAAGCACAAGGGCATCTTCACGACAGCAGAGCAACAAGTCACGCCATACAGCTGTAACTACGTTCCAGCACCACAAGATCTAAGTGCCATCATCATGAAGTCGAAAACCAAGTCAGCTAGTGTTATTCTAGAACTATCTCATGATTGTACTTTGCATATTCCTATATGAACAGCAAGGATCCAGCATAGGATTGTTATCATTGCTTGTACATATCCATTCCTTGCTGGTGACAGCAGAGATAGGATCAATGGCGACCTGAACGACCTTCTCAAGGCGCCATAGTCATAGAAGTGTGTATATGAGTAGTTGTTCATCCCTTGTATGCCATTCTTGCTTTCTGAAATTTACAGAATTCATGCTACCAATTTTACTTTCTTGATTTAGACTTTCTAAGTTAGTTTTCAGAACTACTAACAGCCTTATAGCTGTTCCATTTGGTATCCGAGCTAGATTACGACTTCCTGCTAGGACCACGTCATGACGTCTGACTTAGGACCTCCGTCCTCTGAGGATTGGGCTAATATTTTGCAGAACTACCGAGCCCAAATCGTTTCTGAACTTCGAGAGAGCTTGCAAGCTGAAATTCGAGCCAGTATAGCTGCAGCCGGTTCGGTCGCAGCAAGTGTGAATACTGCTGCACCATCAGATGGTAATCAGCGCGCTAGACCTGCTATGCCAGATCTCTTCACGCCAGGAAAGTTTCAGCCAGTTGTGAGCCGATGGCTATTCCTTGTCGAGCAGTACTTGCTGTTGAGCCACGTTGCACCTGCTGAATGGGCATCTTTCACGGGAACGCTTCTTCGAGGTTCCGCGATTACTTGGTGGCAGACGACTCACACCTCTGTTCAGTCATGGGAGCAGTTCAAGCAACTCTTCACGGCTGCTTTTCAACCAGTGAACCCGGAAATCAAAGCCCGTGATCGTTTGGCTGTCCTCAAGCAAGTCAAATCTGTCCAGGAGTACGCGGCGCGCTTCCGTGACGTTGCTCAAGAGATACCTGACCTGTCTACTGCTGAAAAAATGGATCGCTTCAAGCGTTGCCTGAAATCCAACGTCCGCATGGAGGTTGAGCTAAGGGACTGCACGACGCTCGAGGAAATGATACGTGTCGCTGAACGGTATGACGCTGTTCATTTCGCTTATAAGGCACAATTTCCTCGCAGCCCGTTTCTCCCTTTTGCTCCCTCCCATCAGCCATCTTCATCAGCAACATTCAACCAGCAAGAACCTGCTCCTATGGACCTGGATGTGATGGAGAAGCACAAGAAACCTGTGAAGAACGACGTCGTGTGCTTCAAGTACGGCAAGAAAGGTCATGTGTGGAGGTTCTGCCGCGAACGCTCCAGCCAACCACCGTTGCTTCCAACACCAAAAAACAGTCACCGCCAGTAAGCTTGGGGCGACTTTCTGGCAACCTGCAGAGCCCTTCCATCATTTCTCTTGAAAAAACCTTCCCATCCAACCCCCTTCTCCTTTCCATCAGCATACGGAACCGTACCTTTAAAGCTTTGATTGACAGCGGAGCTTCTTCAAACTTCATCTCATCAAACCTTGTCTCTCAACTATCTCTCCCTATCCAAAAAGATTCCCTTTCTCAAACAGTGCAGATGGCGAACGGAGCTTCTATCACGTGTGGCCCAACTCCTTTCCCAATCAGCTGCACCATGGGCTCATACAAAGGCAAGCTCCAGTTCCAGCAAGTACCTTTGGGAGAGCATCACGTAATCCTCGGGCGTGACTGGTTATCATCCAAGAACCCACGGATTGATTGGACTGCTGGAACAGTAACCATCATGCACAGTGGAGCTGAAATCACGCTTCCTACCATCTCCTCCTCCTCTTCCTCACCCAGCTGCAGTGTAATCTCTGTGAAACAGCTGAAGAAGCTTTCGAAGGACCCTCAGGCTCAATTCTTCGTTTGCTTGCTGCAACAAACCTCAAAATCCACTTCAGCCCCTTCTTCTCCTAATCCCAATCCTCCTGTTGAAATTCAAAAAGTCCTCTCTGATTTTCAAGATGTGTTTCCTTCAGACCTTCCAACAGGACTTCCTCCCAAGCGCTCAGTGGATCACCGCATCGTGCTACAACCTGGATCTGAACCGCCTGTTCGTGCCACCTACCGCATGAGCGCTGCTGAACTGAAGGAAGTCCAAGCTCAACTGGAGGAACTCCTTGAAAAAGGCTTCATTCGTGTCAGCTCTTCCCCCTATGCAGCCCCTATTCTCTTTGTGAAGAAGAAAGATGGATCCCTTCGCATGTGTATAGACTACCGCGCCCTCAACAAACTCACCATCAAGAACCGATACCCGCTGCCGCGCGTGGAAGAACTCTTTGAGCAACTCGGCGAGGCCAAAATTTTCAGCAAGCTTGACCTTCGAAGCGGTTACCATCAGGTTCGCGTTGCTGAAGAAGACATTGAGAAAACAGCATTCCGAACCCGGTATGGGCATTTTGAATTCCTTGTACTTCCCTTTGGACTCACAAATACCCCTGCCACCTTCATGTGCTTGATGCACAACATCTTTCGTGACTTTCTAGATCGGTTTGTCATCGTTTTCATTGATGACATTCTGATTTTCAGCAAGTCATTGAGAGAACACTCTGAGCACCTGCGCCAGGTACTCATGAAGCTTCGCGAACATCGGCTTTTTGCAAAAGAGAGCAAGTGTGAGTTCGCAAAATCCTCCATCCCTTTCCTGGGTCATATTATCTCTCATAATCAGCTTGCTATGGACCCCACCAAGATTCAGGTCGTTGAGAACTGGAAGCAGCCCACCTGCATCAAAGACCTTCAAGCCTTCCTTGGCCTTGCAAATTATTACCGCAAATTCATCAATCATTTTGCTGCCATCACCTCACCCCTCTCTAACCTTCTTCGTAAGCAGCAGCCTTTTCATTGGGGACCCGAACAGGAAGAATGCTTCACCACCATCAAACATGCTCTTACCTCTTCTCCCACCCTAGTCCTACCCAACCCCTCCCTTCCCTACGTCATCTGGACAGATGCATCTCAAGTTGCTACAGGTGCAATCTTGTGTCAAGACCAGGGACATGGCCTTCAACCCATCGCTTTTGACTCGCGGAAGCTGAAACCAGCCGAGTGCAACTACGCTACGCATGACCGAGAAGCGTTGGCCATCGTCAATGCTATCAAGAAGTGGCGCTGCTACGTTCACATGCAGCCGGTAACGGTCTTGACGGATCATTGCACTCTGCAGCACTTGAAGACGCAACCTCATCTCACACCACGGCAGGCAAGATGGATGGAATTTCTTGAACAGTACGTTCCTGAGCTGAAAATTGAGTATCGTGCTGGCCGTACAAACCCTGCCGATGTACTCTCTCGCCCCCCAACCTCTCAGCTTGCTGTGATCGGCAGCGTGACATGGGACCCAGACTTCACCAAGAAATTTACCAAGGGATACCGTCATGATAACTTTTACCTCCATTCTGCCCCTTCCGACAAAGCATACTATTTTGACCCTCCCTTCTGGTACAAAGCAGATTCTCACGCTATCTGCGTCCCTTCTGACCGTAAACTCCGACTCCTCCTCCTACGCGAGCATCACGACCATAATTCACACTTCGGAGTGGACAAAACCGTGGCTGCAATTACATCAAACTTTTTCTAGCCTAACATCTACCGTGATGTCCGCTCCTACGTGCGCAGCTGCCATACCTGTCAGTGCAACAAAGCTCGCAATTCCCCTCCCTATGGCCTATTACATCCCTTGGAAATCCCAGAGACACCATGGAGCCATGTCACCCTTGATTTCATCACTGATTTACCTCCCACTGCTGCCCATCACAATGCCATTCTCACTGTGGTTGACAAACTCACAAAGATGGCCCATTTCATTCCCACTTCCACCACTGCCACTGCCCAAGACGTTGCTGAATGCTTCTTCACAGAAATAGTACGTCTTCACGGTATTCCCTCTGTCCTTATCTCCGACCGTGACTCCCGTTTCGTTGGCAGATTCTGGCAGGCCCTTTTCAACAGGATGGGTACCAAGATTCGCCTCTCAACTGCCTACCACCCTCAGTCTGATGGGCAGACCGAGAGAATGAATCGAACGCTGGAAGATGGCTTGCGTGCATGCGTCAACGCTCGCCAAAACGATTGGGACACCCACCTGCCAGAAATCGAGTTCTCCTACAACAGCACGGTTAACCTTGCTACTGGACAAACCCCGTTCTACCTAGCTACTGGACAGAACCCTCGCACTCCTACCTCACTGGTTCACAGCCCCAAACGTGATACTGCAGCAACGGCGTTTCTGAAGGACAGAGAGAAAGCCATAGCAGCAGCACGTGCCTTACTGTCCAAGGCTCAGCAGCGCATGATTCACTATGCAGACCAGCACCGACGTGACATCCGCTTTCACGTAGGAGACAGAGTACTTCTCTCAACCACAAATCTGCCCCTACTCACTCAAGGCCTCACCCGCAAGCTCGCACCTCGCTTCATTGGTCCCTTTACAATCACATAGTCCTCTCTCCACTTACATACCGCCTGAAACTTCCTCCTCACATCAACATCCATCCGGTTTTCCATGTCCAGCTGCTACGCCCATATCATAATCCTCCAGCTCGCTTCCTCCCTACTTCTCAGCCATCTCGCCCTCCCATGTTCACACCAAGCCCTGACTTCTTGCCCATGAAACAACACCCAGTGGCAGGTACTTTCTGGTTAAGTGGCGTGAGCATGATGATGCAGAAAATCTCTGGATTCCAGAGAAAGACCTGCAGCATGCACAACGAGCTATCTCTGCCTACCTTGCATCTGCTGGTGCACCGAGGACGGTGCCCCTTGGAGGGGGGAGTAATGTTACAGGGCGAAGGCGAACTCGCCACAGGAAAGTTCGCAAGCTGGCGAACTTGTAACCCTTCGCCAAGAACCCAACCTGAAATGTGAAATTCAAGGTTGGAAATCTCAACCTGAAATGTGCGCTTCGGGATTTCTCCAAGCACACGTGAATTCCCAACCAGCAAAGCAGCAGAGAAGAAAGCACAAGGGCATCTTCACGACAGCAGAGCAACAAGTCACGCCATACAGCTGTAACTACGTTCCAGCACCACAAGATCTAAGTGCCATCATCATGAAGTCGAAGACCAAGTCAGCTAGTGTTATTCTAGAACTATCTCATGATTGTACTTTGCATATTCCTATATGAACAGCAAGGATCCAGCATAGGATTGTTATCATTGCTTGTACATATCCATTCCTTGCTGGTGACAGCAGAGATAGGATCAATGGCGACCTAAACGACCTTCTCAAGGCGCCATAGTCATAGAAGTGTGTATATGAGTAGTTGTTCATCCCTTGTATGCCATTCTTGCTTTCTGAAATTTACAGAATTCATGCTACCAATTTTACTTTCTTGATTTAGACTTTCTAAGTTAGTTTTCAGAACTACTAACAGCCTTATAGCTGTTCCACCTCCAGTGCACTCCAGTGCACTCCAGTGTCAGAGTGCGGCGACTCCCTCATTCCTCGTCCCGCGTTCCGTACCTCGTACCTCGTACCTCGTCCCTCGTCCCTCGACCCTCGTCCCTCGTCCCTCGTCCCTCGTACCTCGTTCCGTACCTTGCGCGGCTGACCACGAGCTTCGATTTCGTCGCCGCCTTTTTCCCGCCGGCCGCCCGCCGCGATCCCTCCCCCGACCGCTCCATTCTCGCTCACCGCGCCCACTGCGGCGAGCGGAGAGGGCTCGCACACCGTGCGGCCGTCGCACGATCGGCAGACGTCGCACGACCCGCAGGCGTCGCAGCACCCCCAGGCGACACTACCGGTGCTGGGTTGGTGGACGTGGCTGGTTGCCTGGGGTACTAGCTCCGCAGCTTCGCGGCAATGTGAAGGCTGGTCGGATTCTCACCGTTCATGATAGGAAAGACGATGAATATATGAAGGCGAGAGATGGATGAGCAATTCTGCGGCGGAAACGCTGTCATGGGGAGTTGGGCCGCGGGAGACTTTTCTACTGCATGAAAGGGAGTAGAGTTTGGGTGATGTGAAAGGAAGGACGGCACGGCATTTAGGCTAAAAGCGATGGATGGTGGTTGGTGGTGGTTGGTTGGTGGGGATGGTGGCGAATTGGCCGCTCGTAACGATAATATCCCGCATGAACGACGTCGACGGCATAGGTAACTTGGTAACTTTTTCGGTATAAACAAGGTGAAGGATGTCAAAAAATGCTCTACACCCCATTAACTAGAGTGATCCTGTACAGTTACAGCTTATCAAATATGACTTTTGAAATGTAGGCACTAATGAAATAAAAACACTCTGATTGCTTAAATCTCTAGAATTACGAAGTCTGATTGTTCCAGGTTGGGAGCTCCGCTTTAGATTTGCTGAACTAGCAAAACACACGCTTCGATGATTTAAATATTTTTGCAGCGTCCTCATCATATGCAGGAGATATTGCGGCCATTTCAAACCAATGGTTTGAATAGTTCTGTTTCAGAATGGTTGTAGGAATTGTGGTAAAATGTCTTCTAAACCCTTCCATGCTTTTGCGTTTGTAACGAATCATTCCTCCGTTCCCTGCCGCGCGCCCCGCACACAATTTGAAGCACTGTCAGGGCCGCCTGCCACACAGAACAGCCGCCACATTGCCACCATCAGCACCCATCGGGAACTCCAGGGGAACCCTTTTCAAACCTGCAGAACCATTATGATCACCAACTGACCCTTATCAGCGGAAACTATTTCAGTTACCAAGACTTCGTATCCCATTAGCTTACCTATCAGTCAAGCCTCTCGGATTCCTTGCGTTCCTGAAAAGCCCGTCCTCGCACTCAGTCCCGCTCAGCAACGTTTCCAGACGCTCAATCCACACGGCGTTAGTACACGCGCACGTAGACAGTTCCATGGCCTCGCTTTCTACCTTTGCGTCGACCCCAAGCAAGAAAAGAGAGATCGCTTTTCCGTCCACACCCGTCAGGCGGTGCACACCTCGTGCGGACACTAACGTAAGCTCTCCGAAACTCTGAAGTTTCCGCCGTCGTTCAAGGCTTTTCTTGTTTTCTCTGAAAATGCAAACTCCGTTCTCATTTTTTCTCGCATTGTTTCTCTAATTCAGGCGTCCGCGTCTGACCGCTTCATCCCAAGCCGTGGAAACATGTCCAAATCACAAGCGCGCATGTTGCTTACTTCGGGCGCATCATCGCGAGCTCCAGTCAGCAAACACGGGGACTCCGCTGCTGTGACCACGCCAGCACAGGTCAGAGTCGCGACGACGTCGCTTGATTGCGGAACCCCTTCGCGCGTGTCGTCTTCTTATTCACTTTAAGCAGAACTAGACCAACCAGGATTAGTCTAACGAGTTCCTCGTTCGTGTTCTGTACAGGAGAGCTATCGTCGGCAACTAAACACGAGCCTGCTGGACGATATCCAGACGGCCTCGGGAACTCCGCGTCGCATTCTTCAGTTCGGAGCCACGGATAACGAGGCACACGGCGGCGATGGGTCCACCAAGGGCCATCATAGGCTCGAAAAGAGCCGCGACTTCTGGGCGAGCCCGACAATGGGCACCGCACCGACAGGCACCAAGACCGGCCAGAAACGCGGCGCGCCCTTGAATCTGCAACAAAAGGTCCGAATCGTCGATCCTATTTTCTCGCTGTCAAGATCATGAAACATTTTTCTTTTTATAACAATCGCTCATGCCTTTTCTCTCCTTGTGTTTCTCCCTTCCTGAAATTCCGTCCTCAGCACGCGGACCTGGTCCTCGACGCGCCGGACATGGCGGACAATTTCTACCTGAATCTCCTAGACTGGAGCAGCAAGGGCGTGGTGGCCATCGGGTTGGGGAGCGCCGTGCACGTGTGGAACAGCGAGACGGGGTCCGTGAGCGAGGTGGTGTCGGGCGACAGCGATGTTACGTCCGTTGCGTGGGCTGACAATGGAACGCATCTCGCCGTCGGGTTTGAAGACCACGCGGAGTGCGTGCAGCTCTGGGCCGTCGAGCCGTGCAGGAAGGTGCGATGACGTGGGAGATGCCGTGCCGCTTGACCGTCAACCGTGAATTTCGCGTTTTCGGTTGCTTCGTTGCGATTTTCGGACGTCAAAGTTACTGATATTCTTACTCTTTCCTGGTGCGGCAGATTCGCGACTTGGCGGGGCACAGCGACCGCGTGAGCGCGATGCACTGGGGAGCGTCGTACCAGCTCGCGACGGGCAGTCGAGACACGTCCATCATCACGCACGACGGTACGAAACGTCTTTCTGCCGGAAAACCTGGACGTCCCGTATCTCCGCAATTTCAACAAGCTTCTCGACTGGCCACAGCTCGTTCCTTTCGTTTATTTGTTTACTTAAATCATTTATTATGCGATTACTGATTTATTTATATTTGTCCTTCGCAGTGCGAGTGGCCAGCAACGCGGTATCCCGCCTGCGCGGAGTGCACAGAGACGAGGTGTGCGGGCTCCGCTTCGCGCCCATCTCCTCCGCCGGCATCAGCGGCGGATCCGCCGCCACCGTGCTCGCCAGCGGCGGAAACGACAACCTCGTCGCCGTCTGGGACCTCCGCCGCGCCGCTTCCGCGGCTGCCTCCGCTGCCTCCCTGGCGGGAACGGCTGGCGCTACGTCTGGCATGGAAGCGAACCCTACAGCGCAAGCGTGCGTGCATCGATTCCCGCAACACCAGGCCGCGGTCAAGGCCCTCGCATGGTGCCCCACGCAGGTAACCAAACTTCCTCTGCGCCTTTTTGAATCCTCGAGGGGCGTCGCGACGCGATCTGAGCTTGCACTGCGTTTTTTAATGAAACGTTATGAGTGTTCCGCCAAGGTCAACTGGCAGATGTTTATTTCGCGTATTTTCTTCCTCCCTTGGACTTGGTTTCGTGTCGCTAATGCCTCGGTTTTGTTTGTCTTGTTTTTCTTCTCAGCGGCACATGCTGGCGACGGGAGGTGGGTCAAGCGACAAGAGCATCAAGGTGTGGAACGCGCAGGAGGGATCGCTGCTGTCGTCCACCTTCACGGGGTCGCAGGTCACGGGGCTGTCGTGGGGCCCCTCGTCGCGCCACCTCATCAGCGCGCATGGCTACAGCGACAACGCCATCTGTGTCTGGGCCGTCGGCGCGAACGGTGGGGCGACTGCAAGCGCGAGCGCGAGCGCGAGCTTTGGCGTGGGAGCGGGTGTTGCTGGAGCTGACTCCCTGCTGCAAGTGGGCAAGCTTACAGGCCACCGCGGTCGCATCCTTCATATGGCTGTGGTGAGGTTGCCGCTGTTGGTCGGATACGCGACGCAATAAGCTTTCTTTTTCAATCAGCGGTTCAGCTTGAGATCTAATCCCGTTTTAATCCTTGTGCGTGCGCGTGCGCGTTGTGATCTGGCAGGCGCCCGACCGGCGAACAGTGGCCACGGCAGCAGCCGACGAGACCCTCCGCGTGTGGAAGCTCTTCGGGTCGTCGCCCCCCACTGCGGACGGCGCGAGGAGGAGAGAAAGGGGGATGGGGGAGGCAGCGGTGGAAGGAGCGAGGGAGTGCGGCCAGGTATACGAGGCGATGAGAGGATCCAAGAGCATAAGGTGAGATACTGATGCCTTTTCTTTGACCTCCTCCTCACCTCCTCCACCCTCCTCCGCTCTCGGTTGTCTGTCTCTCGTCGTTGCTTCTGGTGCCTTTCCAAGTTCTGATTTTTGGCCGTTTCATTTCAATTTTCCGTTTCTGTCTGTAATAAACTACTGACCAAGCTGACATACTGACATACTAACTGACTCCCTTCCCCCCCCGGCGCCTCCCTCTCTCTCTCCGCCTCCCCTCTTCCCTCCCCCGTGTTCCCTCCCCGTTTCCCCTTCCCTTTCCCCCCATCCCGCCCGCCCACCGAGGATCTTTCTGAGCCAACAAACGCCTACCGCCCTCCCTCTCTCCGCTCGGTCGCCTGCTGCGACCAAGACCCAAGGTAAGCCCTCCCTGATTTGAATGTCGCCCTCATGTTCCGCATACCTTTACAAGCGATAGGAGCCTCGAAAATTTACCACGGCTCGGTGATGTACCTGAATGCTAATATTTCCTTGTTTGTGTCGTCGCTCGCAGATCGACTAACTCTATCGTTACCACTGGGGAAGCCATGACTCCTCTCCTCTCACCATGGCGACGACCACTCGCGCGACGACCATCCGCGCGACGACCACTCGCGCGACGACCATCCGCGCGACGACCACTCGCGCGACGATCAATCGCTAGACGACCGTTCACTCGCCGACCGTTCGCGCGCTCGTTCTCGCTTTGAGACTCAAGTTCTGTCGGCCTGCCTAAGCCGTCTTGTGCGAGGCGTCAGTCGCCGCGTTGGCTGTCATTGTGGATCACGCATACGGCAGCAACCACGCGCGCACTATCTGTGCGCCGACCACCATCTCTTCCGCCATCGCTTGCAGCATGAACCCACCCATGACAACGCTGCTTGGTTGGGGACGGGAGGAGGCTGGGTACCGACGCCCATGATCGGATGGGATAGGACCATATTTGTGACTCTCGGGGCACTTGTGCCATTATATGAGATTGAAGCTGTAGTCACATATTGTGTACAAGTTTCCAATAAACCGTTGTACAAATTCTGAATGTACACAAGTCGCATTAGAGTGTAGCAGGGATTCCGATCTTAGGGCCGGTACTCCGAATATTGGCGGGAATTTGTGGTGGTGCCGGTGAGCAGCAACATTGGAAGGGGGCTGGCAAATGCATGTTGTCGTTGTCGGCGAGGAAGGTGGTTGGGTTTCGTTTTCTGTCATTCGGTTTGGTCCTCCAACATTCACTCGTCTTGTCTGTTGCGAGTCCGACAAGCTCGAGATTGGACCATCACCACAACACGACGACGACGAGCAATATCCCTCCCAGTCCCAGGCCAATCATACTTACACCGCCCCAGGGGACCTTCCCGTCTCTCGTTTTTAACACAGGGTCTACAGTACCCAGTACAGCCGTGGCAGGGTAATTGGCACAGTAAAAGATATGCTGTTAGCCTGTCTGGACTGGAAATGTTGCCGGTTAAAGGAGGGGGGGAAACCCCTCTGGGTGTTAACCACACCTGGCTGTCGGTCGTAACCCGCCTCCCCATTTGTTTACACTCCTCGCTGGGTCAACGAGGTTGTTCTATCCACTCCCAGATGAGCACCTGTGTAACCCCCTTCTGGGGGGCTGGCAGAACACGCCGCAAGGGGATTTGATCCCGGGACCTCATCTTTCGGAAGTGAACCAGCTAACTAGCTGGGCCACTTCAGGATAGGACTGGAAATGTTGCCGGAGACTACCTGGCTAGGCCTCGATTGTACGGGTCTCCAGAATTTTCAACCGGAGTTTGTCTGCACCTCCCCATTTGATAAGTGAGAGGGAGTTTTAAGCATGGAATTTTCGAGCTGGACCCCGTATACCTGCGTCAGCTGAGAACAAAATTCCCCGTGGAGAAACCTCGGTTCTCCTGAAATCTCTCATCGCAATAGGGATTGACGGTGGAGGTACACCTCAGCTGCCCCCACCTCCTTCGTCCTTGCACCCTGGGCTATGAACCAAAACCACCAACCGCTCATGCATTGTGTTCGGGTAGAGTGAACGTTACGTCAATGAACAAGGTTGCAGCTGCACAGTGCTTCAGCGCAAGGAGAAAGTTCAGGTGCCCCATTTACACCATGTCCTTGCAAAGAACGCAACTACTGTACAGTGTAATCTGGCCTGGAAAAGCGGGTGCGCGGCGCTGCGTCGGCGTTCTTGTAACGAGAATAGGAGATTAGGCCAGCAAGCAAAACCGAGCCATGCCTCTCGAAATAATCCTTGGCCTCACAACATCTGAGTCACTTCACACGTACCTTCTCCGTGCAACGTTCTGAGATTTCGAAAGGATTCGCGGTCCGCTTTCTGCTGTCGTCCCAACAGAACAGAACAAAGCTACTACTGTACTTTCTGAAGCATTTGCACCCGCACCGCCTATGTCGCCGCTCTCGCCGCATCAGCGGCCATGGCTGCTTGTATGGTGCATTGTGCTATTATTAGTCTGGCAACCGCCTTCCATGACTCTTCTCCGCAGCAAATACGACGGAACCGCACCGAATCGCGAAGATAGAATATGGGGCAGTGGAGGCGCGGCGCGTCCGCTCCTCCTTGCGGCTAATGCGGCGCCGATTGCGGCGACGGACAGCTTTACCTCGCCGTGCAGCGAAGAATCCACAAGTAGGAACCGAGTCGCCGGGGTGAATCGCGAGTCGCATCAGCGTTCTGCTATCGCTGGCTCTAGTAGGACGATTGGCAGCCGTTGCGACGGCGAGAAAAGCCGCTGGGAAGCCGAGCGGCAGTCTGAGGGCAGTAGTTGAGTTGAGTAACACAGGTGTTGAGCGTCATGGTTTGCTGAGCGTCGTAGCTGGCTGAGCGTCACAGTCGGCTGAGCGTCACAGTCGGCTGAGCGTCACAGTCGGCTGAGCGTCAGAGCCGGCTGAGCGTCACTGGCGGCTGAGCGTCACAGGCGGCTGAGCGTCACAGTCGGTTTAGCGTCACAGGCGGCTGAGCGTCACATGCGGCTCACTGAGTCCCCTTTTCGGCAGGCGTTGAGTCAGTCGGTGGTGCGCACAGCTTGGGCTTATAGGCTTCCATAGGCCTTCGCTTCAAGAAATCACACGTGACACCTTGTACTGCTCGTGTGCTGGATCGCTCACGTTCACTCGTGATGCCGTGCCGCCTCCTCGCCCGTGGATGATTCCTTTTGCGCCTTCCACTCCTTACGCCCTCCCAATCCTCCTTCCACTCTCCTCTTCCCCACTCCCCCTCCCCGCACACCCCCCTCCCCCTCCCTCCCACTTCCCCCCCGCTCTCCCGTACCTTCCTCCCTCTTTCGCCCCATCCCCTGCCTCTTTCCTCTTTCCTCTTTCCCCTGCCTCTCTTCCTCCCCCTCTCCTCTCCCCGCGCGCGCGCAGCGTTCGAGCGGTGGAGCGAAGCGGCGACGTGGGGGGGCGGGGGCATACCGGGGCAGGGCGCGCTGGAGGGCGCGAACGTGACCATTCCGTGCGGCAAGGCCGTGCTGCTCGACACGTCGCCCGTGCTGCTCACCCTCCTGCAAATACAAGGCGTCCTCATGTAACTGCATCTCCTCTCTCTCCCCCTCCCTCCCGCGCTTTTTTCTCTCACTCTCTCTCTCCTTCTCTCATGCCATGCCATGCCATGCCATGCCATGCCATGCTGCGCCAGACCTTACCTTGAGAAGTGTTGCCGAGCTGGGCTGTACAGATGACTGAAACCGGCCGCACGGACTTTCATTGCATCTTTTATTGCTCCTCCCCATCCCAACCATTCCCCTCCCGCCCTTCCTCCCATGAGCTTAGCTTCCTTCCCACTGTTCCTCCTCCCGCGCCCTCGTCTTCTCTTCTGTCCCAAACAACGCTCCGTCCCGCCCCTTCCCTTCTGCCCCTGCCCACTCTCGCCGGGTTCTGATCCACTTCTCTCCCACACATCTTATCTTTCGCCACTTCATGCCTTCACGTACCGGAACCTTCTTTCCCTTCTCACACCTGCTTCCCCCGCTCCCCTTCCCCACTC